AAAAAAAAAAAAAAAAAAAAAAAAGAGATCCAGCAAATGTTGAAGAAGTGAGCTCAGAGATTAAAGCAGGGGCAGAGGGCAGAGCGTCCACGACATTTTGCTGCAAAAGTTGAAAACTAGGGGTCCATCTGTCACATCCAACCCATAGTCATGTTTTACTTCACTCACACATTGTTTAAATCATTTTTAAATAATGGATAATATAATTTAATTTAAAAATTGAGGCTGGGTACAGTGGTTTACACCTATAATCCCAGCATTTTGGGAGGCCGAGGAGGGAGGATCGTGTGAGGCCAGGAGTTTGAGACTAGCCTGGGCAACATAGCAAGACTTCACCTGTAGTAACCTACAAAAAATAAAAAGCAATAGCTGGGTGTGATGGTGCATTTCTGTAGTTCCAGCTACTCAGGAGGTTGAGGCAGAAGGATCACCTGAGCCCAGGATGTCGAGGTTATGGTAAGCCATGATTGTACATCTGCACTCAAGCCTGAATTACAGAATGAGACCATGATTCAAAAAACAAAAAAACAAAAAAAAGTTGAGCTCGGTGGCTCAGCCTGTAATCCCCTGCCTTGGAAGGCTGAGGTGAGTGAATTGCCTGAGCCCATGGGTTCGAGACCCGCCTGGGCAACTTGGTGAGACCTCATCTCTACAATAAATCAAAAATTAGCCGGGCATGGTAGCGGGCTCCTGTAGTTCCTACTACTTGGAAGGCTGAGGCGGAAGGATCACTGGAGCCCAGCAGGTTGAGGCTGCGGTGGCCGGGAGCGTGCCACTGTACTCCAGTCTGCGCAACAGAGTGAGACTCCAACTCAACAAAAACATAAACAAAAACAAAACAAACAACAAAAAAGAAATTGGGAGTTTTAAAAAAATATGGGTTATGCCCTCTAGAAAACAAGAAGACTAATAGTTCCATATTCTCCTGTGGTGGAAATTGAGTAGTCACTGCTATCTTCAGATGGGACTGCCTCTGAGTAGTCAGACACAGTTCCTTCTAGTCAGTTTTAACCACTTAGTGGCAGCAAGAAGTGACAAAGATTCTCTCCTTGACCAAACTCTAGCCAGGCTCCACTGAACCCTTTCTCAACAAGGCCTTGCTCATGGCCTATAAAGACTTGAATGGATAGTAATATAATTTCTAACAGCTCAAGGCCACATCCTTAGGATGACCCCGCCCCCTTTAAAGTGCCTTCCCAAGAAAATTCAAGAGTACCAAAAAGCTACTGTTCATTCCGGCCCAGACCTGAAGATAGGACCCTGTCTCGCAGCCTCTGTGAAAGGCAGGAGCCTAACCTCTGTTAGTGTCCAATAACAAACCCAGATGGGTTTCACATTTCCATTTCAGGCTTTTTGTAGTGTTTTACTTTCCTGGCCCTACTGATCCCCAGCTTATTCCCCTCTGTATTTCTTCATTCTCCCTTTAAAACACCCAATTTGCTCTGTACAAATCAAAGTTGAGTTCAGTTTACTCTGGACTCTCTTCCCCAATGCAAGAGTGTGTTACAAATAAAATCTGTCCTGACTACTGTCTGGCTCTGTTTGTCTTTGATAGAAGGCTACCAGTCAACAGAAACCAATGAAGGCATTAGGTAGGGTTTGTTGTTTTAAAGATGATGAGACAAAGCATATTTGTTTCCATTTTTTCCTCTGGGGAAGCTGAGAAAAGGGAGAAATCAAAGATGTAAGAAGATAGTGATCATTGGTAGGATCTAGATATTGGTTGAAGTTGGAAAAAACTCCGAGTGTAACTAAAATTAGTATGGGGGGGAGAGAGAGAGAGAGAGAGAGAGAGAGAGAGAGAGAGAGAGAGAGAGAGAGATAGCGAACGCGGGAGCGAGCTTCTTCGAAATTAGAGACAAGAATGACAGGATATAGATATGATGAAAAAACCAGAGGAAGGATAATAAAACTGAAGACTGGACTAACAGACACAGGTAAAACAAGAAAAGTGAACAAGAAAAGATATTTTTCTCAAGGACATGCTACATCCATAAAGTGTCACACAAGACCAGCTTTATGCTTTAAGTCAGTCATTCCTCTGATATTAATATTGACGAGTTCTGTATGTTTGTCATTGGGAAATGGGATCTCCAATTCTCCGAACATGTGAGCGGTGGCCAGTGTGCAGGGCTGGGATGCCAGGCCCTGGGCACTGAGGGTGACAGGCTGCGGTGGTGGTGGGGCGGCTGGGTCTTCCCCCACCTCACCCTACTTTCCACGTTTCCTCAGCAACATCTTTCATTCCTCGGGAGAAATTTCCCTTTCTTTCATATTCTCTCTCAGGAAACTCACTCTCTCAGGAAAGAGCTATTGCTTCAACTAGAGAGCAGCGTCCCACCCTTCATTCAAATCATTTTTTGGAACGTGCTCTAAACAGGTGGGCCAGGAATGAGGTTTATTTCCCCCAGACCAAAATGAAAGCAAACACTTCCTTATAGGAATAATACAACATTTTAAAAAAATTGTTAAGGCTAGTCAAATGAAGCAGTGGAAACAGAGAAGGAACAAAGAAATGTGTAACTCGTTGTGATTAATCAGTTGTAAACACCACTGCAAAGCACTCAGACTGGACTAGTATTTTATTTAAACAAAGTGCAACATTAAGTAGTTGCAACAGGCCCCTTTTTCCTCCAAAGAAACGAAAACGAAGTGCGTCTGCTTTAGCTCTGGGGGCTTCCTCTAGCTCGGGAGGGCGGCGGGGCGCGGCCGCAGCCTGAGTCCACAGGAACTTGTACGATAGGCTGTCTACTAAAACTCGAATCTGCGGCCCGGGCGAGGAGAGGTGGCGGGGCTGGCGGCGCGTGCGCGGATTGGTCGCCCGGCCGCTCCGACCCCATGCACATGCGCAGTCCTCCTCCCGCGCCGCCCGTCGCGCCGCCCAGTCGCCCGTCTGCGGCCTCAGGAGCGATCGGGCGGCAGCCGGCAAGCCGGCGAGGGGACGTCGGAGCGGGCAGGCGGGTGTTCCCGGCCTGCTGTCTAAGGGGAGGAAAGAGGGGGCCGCTCTCCTGGCCCCCGGACTCTCCTCAGCCCCCGCAGCCTGCCCAGGCCGGCAAGGGAGACGCTGAGGAGCTGCGGACTCTGCCGGGTGCAGCCGCCGCCATGGCTGCCATGATGGATCGGAAGTGAGCTTCAGGGCGACGGCTGCCGGCGCTTCGAGCCGCCGCTCCCCGGCCGCCTCCGCCCGGGAAGCGCGGCGCGGCGGACTGCGGACTGCCCCGGCCCTCGCGACCCCAGGTCCTCAGCTCCTGCCCGCTTCCTCCAAGACTGAGCGGCGGGGAGTGGCTCCCGGCCGCCGGCTCCGGCTGCGAGAAAGATGGCGGACCCGGCCGAGTGCAACATCAAAGTGATGTGTCGCTTCAGACCTCTCAACGAATCTGAGGTGAACCGCGGCGATAAGTACGTCGCCAAGTTTCAGGGAGAAGACACAGTCGTGATCGCGGTGAGTGGCCCCCCACCCATCCCTTCCTTGTCCCGTGTCTTCGAGCCTGGCTGGCTGGGAGTTTAGAGAAGTGGCGGGGTGCAAGACGGAGAGGGAGCGGTGGTGTTCCCAACCCTCCCCCGGTGGGGTTTTCGGGTTCGGATAATCCGCGGGAGGGGGACTGCGCAGCTCCACAGGCCTTCCAGGATCGCCCCCACCCCGGTCTTCGGCGCCGGGAGTCGGGAAGCGTCCATTCTCAGCCGGGGACACTCCCCCACCTGGGGCCCTGGAGGAACCGTCGGGGGAGCAAGTTTAGTGCATATTTGTCTGTTTATGGGGTGCGCAGTTAGGGTTGCTGATGCTTTTGGTGACTTGGACTACGCCCAAGGTTACCGTTCATAAAATATGGAAGATGAACTTACTGGTCACCTTGAGACCAGCCCTACTATACGTTAAGTAGTAAAGACACTTAGTTTTATAGAAACACATAACTAGTTGTTGAACTGTATTTTCTCCAGGGAGAAGGACAAACCACCAAACAACTACAAATGTATTCGTACCTGTTCTTTGAGTGATGAGTGATTTTTCATATTGACAGTCACAAAAGGCAAATCAAGGACTGTAAAAAGAAATAGTTCCCTTTTGAAATCAGAGTGCTCAATTATGTGTAATTTTCTGGCACATCTAGCTGATTTTGACTGGGTCAAATAAGTGCTCAGAAAGATACAGAAATGGACTTTTACTGGGTTTTATGGGATAACAGCCTAGGAAAAAAGTGTTAACTTTCTGTGTGTATATCAGACACAGCATTATAAAAGCAAGCTTATACAAAAGAAAAAAATAACCAGGGTTAGAATCATGGCTTCTACAACTAAGTTCTATACTGAAGAAAATTGATTTTGGTCATCCCAAATGAGATACTGTTACAAAGAGATACTTGTTTTTTTGTAGTATAAAACTACCTTAGTTTGCTGGTCATTGTCAGGGAGACAAGAATGTGAGAATTTTTTGAGGAGTCATCTCTGGTATTGAAAGGTCTCTGAAAATAACATTCCCAGTTCAGGGAGAGTACACAACAGTGAACTGTGACTACAAATTAAATTCACTTTTCTTGGTAATGCCTTGTGGTATAACTTTTTTCTACATTGTTATCATGGTACAGAATATGTTAATATTTTCTCTACTGGCATTCTGTATTTAGTGCTGTGTAGTTTGGGCTATTTAATTTGGAAATAGGGCCGAGAAGTCACAGTAGATGGGACATTGATGATTGAAAGCATTGATATCTCACACAGGACTAAAGTTCCTTAGGGTTTTAATGTGAAGATTTACAAAGTTCCACTTTAGAAAATGAAATCTTAGCTCCACGTCACTCTTGGTAGATTTTTGGCAAACGTATCTCTAGGTCACTAACAATTGCCAGCTACTATTGTGTGAGGACTGCCAGGCCGGTTCTTTGTTAGCAAGTTCACAAGAAAAACTCTTGCTCTAAATGACATCATAGCCAGGCAGAGGTGGAGAAGTTAAGTGCAGTAATCCTTTCCCTTTAGGATGGTGTATTTCACGTGGAAGCAGGAAACTTGCAAAGCCTGGATTAGTTGTCAAACTTGAGGCTACTGGTTTCTTAAGAGTTTGTGATTACAGTATGGTACTCAGCTTCAGCAATGGTTGGCACACAATTGTTTTCTCCTTTTATATTCTTTTATATGTGTCTTACAAATGTCCTATTAAGATTTGTGTGTATTTACACAAATCTATAAGTATGACTATGATTCTTTTTGTTAGAATGCTAAAATTTAGGATCCACAAACTGTTGTAAGATTAGGTTAGAAGGTAATTTTTGATGTGACCCTAATATGACATAAAATAGAGCTAAAGGAAAACAAATAATTATCACAGAAAATATGTTTCCATTGAAAAAAGTTATTTATAAATTTTGTTTCAAAATTTATTTAGTAGTGTAAATAAATTTAAATGATGATATTAGAAATAATGGATAAGTGAGTAGTTTGTGAATCAGTAAGAACCGTTGACCCTTAGGTCACCTTTAGTGTTTAAATTAGAGAACTTGTTATCCATAAAACAAGGAGGACAAGAGAAACAATTAATGTCATTCAAATGAGCTTGCCGAAAACACCAGAAAAAAATCAGTAGAAAAAATTACTTTTTCTGTTTAGGCATCGTGAAAATAGAACATGCTCATTTGCATCGTTAAATGTCTTTAGTAATCATCATTCCTTATATGGTGTACTGTAGAGGCTGCCAGAATTCAAAACAAGCAGTTCATAGAAATTAGAAGACAATAAAACTAATTTGATAATCTTGCCCTGAAATTAGAAGAGAATAAAACTAATTAGATAATCTTGCCCAGTTCCTTGCCTAAAACAAAATACAATTTCTCTTTTCAAGTGAGTGATTTTTTTGGTATTTAAACCTTCTTTATTACTTTAAGAGTGAAAATTGAAAGAGGAGAGGGAGCCCTTATCATATATCTTTGCGGTTGTAGAATGTGAACTCACGGTGTCTAAGGAAAGTCTAGTAGAATACAATCCCATGTGATCTGAAAATATCACTATTCAAAATTCCAGAGAAAGGCATATCCCTGCCAGAAGGGTGTCCTTCATAACCAAATTTGGTGTTCAACCTGGTCTGTGCAAACTCAAACTGGAATCACTCACTTCACATGAGAATTGAAGGTGTGGTTGCAGTTCAGATAAACTTATTCCTAATCTTATGTTCCCTTGAAGCCTAAATCAGATGTGAATGCATCTTTTGACGTGGATTTAGTAAAATTCAAATCTGGAACTTTGAGTATCTTTGAAGATACATAGAATTAAAGACTGCATTATGTATTTTTCAAAGCTAAGAACTGTGTTTTAAATATATATATCCAGATGTTCAGTTTTCCATTGTTTAATTTATTTGAAAGATAGAGATGTGGTTTAATTATAGACCATTAGAAAAATTTTTGTTTCACAAAGTCTTGCTCTTCATCCCAGGAAGCCAGGGTCAGTTAGTAATTTATGTCTAGTTCTTTAATCAAAATATTTGCCTTAGTAAAATTACAATTTCATTTTGTAGTCAGTAAAACTTGTTAACTTAATGCCAAGCACTTAAGTTAATTTTTTATTTAATAATAACACTTCTAGAAGATAATCAATCTTAATTTAATTATTTTTATGTTTGTGTGTTACCTTTTAATAGTTGCCATTCATATTATTTTTAGTTAGATTGTAGTGGTTGTTGCATGTTTGCTAGGGGAAGATACTAGAGTAAACAGTTGCATAAAGTACTTTTGAGGCAGGCTTTACTCTTACCCAATATTTTTGGCATATCTCTTTGTAAGTGGTTTAGGAACATTATTTTCTATTGTTGAAAAGATTGAGGTATGAATTAAAGTTTGGAATTATTCTTTCTGGCCCTCAAATGTTTATTTTAAATAATGTTTTATTATTTGACTTATTTAGAGGGGCGTGTTTGTCTTAATTTTAAATATTTTCTATTGATTAACTTGTTTCTTGCAAGAGAAATTAGAATTAATCATTTAATTTTGCTTTCATTTTTAAAATTTTTATTTATTATTCAATTAAAGTTTTCTTTTAATAGAGACGGGGTCTTGCTAAGTTGTCTGTGCTTTCATATTTTTTGCACACTTGTTATTAAATGTATATTAGGGCAAGTTGCAGTCTCTTGTTGATTTCTTTATCGATTATCAGTTCTTAAGGCTAAAGGCTGCCTCCCATTTCAATTCAATTAACATTAGTTGACCACTTATATTAGATCCTAGTATACAGCGTCTTAGCTTAGTATTCAAGACTCTACCCAGCCTTTATTTATTTATTTATTGTAGAGATGATGTCTCAAGTTGCCCAAGCTGGTCTCTATTACTCTTTGATTTCTAAAGTCTGTACTGTTTAAATCATTTATAAAATTGTGTTCCTTATCTACAGTATCTAACTTATAGTCATTAAATAAGTGTTTGCTGGATAAGTGAAGGGGGAAATTACTTTCTTTTTGCATAGAAAGACTTAGAATGGTTTATTTTGGGGTGGTATTATTATTGTGGTTGTATTTGTTTTCAGAATTGTTCACTGTGAATATATCTTGTATCATCAGTAAAATAATCTTTTCTTTTTTTTAGCCTCACCTGTAGAATTAAATGTAGCTGTCTCAGTAGCATCTGAGAAAATACTTTCATATGTGTTTTAGTTAAAGAAAAACCAATTAATGCCTGTTTATTTATTTGTTTATTTTGAGTTGGGGAATCTCACTCCATCACAGCTGGAGTGCAGTGGCACACTCATGGCCACTGCAGCCTCGACCTACTGGGCTCAGGCTATCCTTCTGCTTCAGCCTTCCAAGTAGCTGGAACTACAGGCATGCGCCACCACACCCAGATGATTTTTTTATTTATTGTAGAGATGATGTCTCAAGTTGCCCAAGCTGGTCTCCGAACCCCTGGGCTCAGGCGGTCCTCTTGCCTCCACCTCCAAAAGTGCTGGAATTAGAGGCGCAAGCCACTGCACCCAGCAATGCCTATTTTAAATTGATGCCAAAGTGAGGTCATCTTAGTATATCCGTCAGGAATGCTTTCAGCTTCAGAGGGAAAACAAACAGCTAATAGTGGCTTAAATAAATAGGAGGTTATTTTTCTCACATAACAGAAAGTCTGGAATTAGGCTCTCTAACTCTGTCATATTAATACTTTGTTGTCCTTAGCTGTTTGCTTTTTGTTTTTATATTTGTCATGTTTGCAAGATGGATGCTACAGTTCCAGGCTTTCATTCCAGGAAAGAGGGCAGTTTCAACTGAGATGATCTCTTTGATTAAGAAAATAACACTTTTCGGAGACCTGCGAGCAGACCACCACTTCATATTTTTTAAAGCTAGGTCATGTGACAACTAGTTGCAAGACTAGGCTAGCAGGCAGATTTGGCTTTCCAGCTTATTTATTGGGAGTGGCTTTGGAGAGCATTTTAGGAGTATCTGCCTCATTTTAACTTATTACAAGCTTTGGGGAGGGAGGCTGTGGGATATAGTTTTTAAAAAGTAGGTCTTTTTAAGCTAAGACCTAGGAAATATTCTGTAATTTTAAGGGCTTTTTCTAGAGTTATGATTGTTTTGTATTTTGGGGTCCAACTTCCTTCTTTTCCTTTAGAAGAAACTAGAGAACAGGCTGATACTTGCAAATACCCCCAACCCCTTTGCCTCTCATCTTCAGATGTTCACTCTCTCTCCTAGATTATTAAATTGCCTGTGCTAGCATTTAAACTTGTTCAGGTCTTGCCCATCTAAAAAAAATACTTAGACCCACAGCCTAAGTTACCTCCCGTTCTTTTTTCATCCCATTCCAATCTGACCTTTGTCATCGGATACTTTTCAGTTTTGCCTTAAACTCACAGCTGTATTTCATGTAATCACTTCCTCCTTGAAATTTTTTTTCCTTGACTTTCATGAGTACTATATTCTGATTTGTTGTTGTTGTTGTTTGATGCATCTTACTCCTTCTCAGACTATATTAGTGGTTCTCCAAGAGGGGTCCATAGGTCCCCAAGGGGGTCTACAAGGTCAAAACTTTTCAAAATAAGATGTTATTTGTCTTTTTGGGGGGGTCTACAAGGTCAAAACTTTTCAAAATAAGATGTTATTTGTCTTCTTTTTTTTTTTGATTTGAAGTCTCACTCTGTCGCTTAGGCTAGAATGTAGTGGCATGCTCACTGCTACCACAGCCTTGACCTGCTGGGCTTAGGCGATCCTTCCACCTTAGCCTTCCAAGTAGCTGGAACTACAGGCATGCACCATCACGCCTGGCTAATTTTTATTTATTGTAGAGATGGGGTTCTTACCAAGTTGCACAGGCTGGTCTCTAACCCTGTGAGATCAGGCAATCCTCTCAACTCAGCCTCTCAAAGTGCTGGGATTATGAGTGTGAGCTACTGTGCCTGGCCTGTTTATCTTTTTTTTTACTGTTGATATTTGCATTTGATCCTTGTACTCCAAACTTCTTTTCTTTCTTGGATGCTACTGGCTCCTATCTGCCTCAGGTGCTTTAAGCACCCTATTCCCAATGCCTAAGCTACTTTACAACACTCAGCCTCCTTCCCCCTTTATGGTTAATATTGAAAAGAGCGAACTAAGCTAGTTGCTACTTAGTCTTCAGTTCTTGAGTAACCCTTAAAGTAAATATCCCTTCTTCAAGAGTGTTTTCCTGTTGTTATTCTGCAGATTCAGGTTTTCTTACATTCACTCATTGCACTTTCATAGCACTCGGTTGCGTGAGTCAGAATTCTAGTCAATTATTTGTCTAATGTCTGCCCCACTATTACATAAGCTCCACTAAAGCAGAGGATGAATCTATATTGTCTATCACTCTGGCATAGCATCTGGTCTTCTGCAAATATTTGTTAAATGAAAGAACGATTGAAAAGCTGTTGTAGTAAACGGAAAAGCTGAATGGAGTGGTGAAAAAAAGCCTGAACTAAAGATCTGGATTTGAATTTTGATTTAATTTTGTCATTAACGAAATTTGTACCTTTTAAAATTCTAGTTTCCTTATCTACAAAGTAATATTAATATTGGAAATAGAGTTTCAGCACCTGCCAGAATAGATACTTATTTTTATTTAAATTCACTTAGCAATATTTGAGTGACTACCATAGTAATACTATTTATAATTACTGTGCTAGACCCTGAGAATACAACAAAGACGAAAACATTCTTGTTTTCTTGTTGCACATTTATACATGGTGCACCTTAAGGTTTTTTCCACTCAAAAGATTCATGACATGAAGGGATGCATATCAGGTATACTATTTTGAAGGTTAAATATATGATGTATCTACAAAGGAACTTAGAAATGTCCGTTTACTTTTAGTTTGTGTAGGTGAGAAACAATTTTTTTTTTCTTTTCAGTCTAAACCTTATGCATTTGATCGGGTGTTCCAGTCAAGCACGTCTCAAGAGCAAGTGTATAATGACTGTGCAAAGAAGATTGTTAAAGGTAAATATATTTCACCTTAAGATATATTTTATTTAAAATAAATTTTAAGTAAAATTTTGTTTGTGACCTTTCCCACGTATTAACATTCTCTTTTTCATTTTAATGCCCCTTTCTTCTAAGTTAATTGCAGGAGAGCTTTTTTTAAACAATAAAGAGACCCAGTACAATTAATTAGCGTGTACTGTTATACATATTTCATGATTCAGCTATATAAAGTACCTAGTGAAGGATGTTATAAGAATTAAGCTACACATTTATTTTTGAAACATGCATTTCTATTAAATACTCCCAGGAGAGTTTTCAAGGTTCCAATTCTAGAAATGGAACGGCATGAGAATGAAAACAAAATGGCAAAACAAGTTTCTAAAAACTTGTAGTAGAAATGGCAGTCTATCATTCTTCCATTCAATTGTTTTTCCTTCCCCAAAGACTTATCTTGTAGTCAGCAGAGAATCCCTTGAGGAATTTAACAGAGTTGCCAAGGGTGAGAAAAGTTTACGCATTCCAGTTAAGTGATTATCTAGAGTTACTTCTAGTTACTGTAGAACTCTCCTTTATCAAAATAACCTTACAGTTAAATGACTGTTACCTTGTGTTATGATTTATTCCAATTTTTGACAGCTCTAGTTGTTAAAAAGGGGTTCTTAGATTGATACAAAATCTGTCTTGTGGCATTCACCAGACTAGACGGGTTAGGTTCAGTATAGAAGTAGACAGGTTAGAATAACATACCAGCACAGGACAATTTGATCCTAGTAACTGGGAGAAAGAGTTATAGAAGATTTATAGGTGTGGTGTAAGGAAAATTAGACATTCTCTTCATATTAATTTTCTGTTGTCTGATATAAGGAGCAAAGTCGTCACTGAGTGAGGAAGGAGGAGAAGGTTTGTATTAAAGGTATGAAATGAATGAACTCAAGAAGTGTGACAGTATTGCAAGGCAGTATTAAGGGCCCACTTGAGGTTAGCTGCTAGAATAATTGGAATTTGCCCATTTGGAGTTTTGCCAGGTTAGTGCAAAAGAGGGAGAGAAGAGCTAGAGAATTGAGAATGTAGTCAAAGGACTGATTGTAATAGTGGACTGGGGAATCTAGGGTGGGTGAGCTATGGGAAGAAGGCAATGAGGGAGGCTGAAAGACAGTGAAGAACGGTAGTAAGATTAGTGGGTTATACATCTCAGTGGTTTCAAAAGTTTGCTGGAATCCGGATATTAAGGAGTAATAGAAGGTAAATACAGATGATGGTGCAAAAGTGATACACGTGCAATAGAAATCATACTTCAAGTATCCTTACAACAATTTTGTTCTTCTCTTTCAATACAGTATTCCATAAGTTAGATGAAATATTCAACACTTTATTATAAAATAGCCTTTGTATAAGATGGTTTTGCCTAACTGTAGGCTAATGTGAGTGTTCTGAGCATGTTTAAGGTAGGCTAGCTAAGCCATGATGTTTGGTAGGTTAGATATACTTAACACATTTTATCTTATGGTATATTCAATTTAGGTTTATCAGGACATAGCTGCATTGTAAGATGAATAATATCAGTACTTGAAATTGAGATTATAGAGACAATGCAGTTAGTAATGAAAAGGTCAGAATATTGCCTTGGAGCTAGTGTCTGAAGTAGTAAAGAACAAGATTGTGGAAAAAATTAGGTCAAGGATCTGAGAGCCTTGGGTATTTTAGTGGAATTATCTACTACATGGACATTGAAACCACCAGGAATTATGACGGGAGTGGTATTGGTGAGAGACAGTGAACTGGGTGCTGAAACCTTCATAAAATGAGGGAGAATTAATTTGTGATTCTCTAAATGACTCAATGCAGAGGAACAGGCAGCGTTGTCTTACGTTGTAAGCATCAAATAGTTTTCCAAATGTATCTATCGTAGAACATTCTTTGATTATGGCATATGTTGACTTTTTTTTTTGAGTTGGGAGTTTCACTCAGTCGCCCAGACTGGAGTGCAGTGCCCGCTCCCGGCCACTGCAGCCTCGACCTGCTGGCCTCCGGAGATACTTCTGCCTCAGCCTTCCAAGTAGCTGGAACTACAGGCGTGTACTACCACGCCCGGCTAATTTTTTGATTTATTGTAGAGATGAGGTCTTGCCAAGTTGCCCAGGTGGGTCTTGAACCTGCAGGCTCAGGCAATTCACTCACCTCGGCCTCCCAAAGCATGGGGATTACAGGCTGAGCCACCGAGCCCAGCCTGTTAACTTCTTAAATAATAAAAAGTTAATGATTCATGAACTCATAGATAATTTTAACATATAGATCTTTTTCATATTGACTACAGCCTGCTTTAAATTCCATTCTGTACTTCACTTTAGAGTGCAAACTTTAAAGTGCAGGCTTCATTTTGTTCATTTTAAGTCTTGATCATATCTTGAGTTTTGTTTTTATAATTATCTTACTAGGGATCTACTACTTTGGTTGCCAGCATACTTGATAAATCTGTTAATAATGTCAAGGACATTAAAGTTTGAAAAATATTATTCTAAGTCATTTATAAAATGTGCCATGGTTCTTAGCCTAATCTATAAACTGAATAAGGCTGTTGACAGTTAATGAAATCACACTTTTGGGGTATTCAACCAACTTCAAAGCCTCTTTCCTGTACAGTAGTCTAATTCGTAGTTTGTCAACATACCCAAAAGAATATGATGGAAGACTTGGATCTTTTAATGAAATCATTGTGCATGACTCGTATTTGCCCAAAGTTGGATGACCCTATCCAAATAGGAAATGAGGTTAGTTCAGCCATAGTTCTTCATGAGTGAAATTTTGGCATACTTATTTCCCATCATTTTTCCCTTTTTGAAAAAGAGTGTAGCATTTGCATCTCCCTTCTGATACCTTTGTTCTCTCTGGTTTTTTTTTTCCTCTGGTTTTTAAAACTTACAGTTGCTGGGTGCAATGGCTCACACCTGTAATCCCAGCACTTTGGGATGCCGAGGTGGGAGGATGTCTTGAGGCCTAGAGTTCAAGACCAGCCTGGGCAACATAGCAGACCTTGTCTCTACAATAAAACAAACAAACAAACAAAAAACTTGCCTACAGTATCCATGAGACTTTATCCCTGGAATGTAATTCTTTTTATAACTAAAAACTTGGGCTCATTTAAAACCATTTTTTCTCTGTTGTTCTACCCACATCAGCCATAAAATCTCTCTCAGCAGTGTTCTGTTATTCTGTTTTGAGGGTCATATTTGTGGAAGATGGTAATAAAATACAAATACCTCTGTTTTAATATTATCAGTTAACATTTTATCAATTTTCCTAGGCAGTACAAGTTTATTCATTCACTTTTCTTTTTTTAGTATTACTTTGAAAGTTCTTTTTAAGGCCTTGGTTTTTATTTTGGTTTACTCAATTATTTTTCTGAATATGACTTTAAAAGTTCTTTTTAGGGCCTTAGTTTTTAATGCTATTTTGATTTTTTTAAGATTTACTTATTGTGGGCTGTCATCTTTCTCATCATGTTCTAGTGAACTTTGCCTCTCTTTTGTATATCCTTGGTTATATAGTCTCCTATTAGTAGACTCATACCTTACCTTTTTTAGAGCTTTTTGAAATATGTTATCCTGACGTCTGGGGTAGTGTTCCCCAACCTTTTTGGCATCAGGCCCCAGTTTCGTGGAAGACAGTTTTTCCACAGATGAGGTGGGGGGAGAGGAGATCATCAGTCATTAGCTTCTCATAAGGAGTGCACAACCTAGATCCCTCACTTGCACAGTTCACAGTAGGCTTCGTGCTTCTGTGAGAATCTAGTGCCGACACTGATCTCATGGGAGGTGGAGCTTGACTGGCACCACTCATCTCCTGCTGTGGAGCGCAATTCCTAACAGACCATGGACCTGTGCACCATCGGGGGGTTTGGGGACCCCTGGTCTAGGGAACATGTATCTACTACTTCTGTTCTGTCTTATTATTGCTTATAATTCTAAGATGAAATGGTTAATCTTCTCAAAATTTCTGTCCCTTCTACTTCACCAGTATATTCCCCCTTTACTGTTCGGAACTGAGTTCAGGATAATCATTCCCTTCTTTGCAGTATGGCAAGAGTATAGTCTTTGGGATCAGATATATTTAGATTGAAGTCTGGACTTTGCCACTTGCTAGCTGTGTGACTTTCAACAAGTTTCCTAACCTTATTTACAAGTCTCCATTTCCTCTTCTGCAAAATAGAAGGTACTGTGAGGAGTTAAACACACAACAGATATCAGCTACTAATTGTTTCCTGTATTCAGAAAGGAAATGATTTTCTTAATTTAATCAACTATGGTTATGCTTGGGGTAACTCCTAGTCTAAGATATTTCCATGCTACAAAATTACACTTCCAACAAGTGTCAGAATACAAGGTTTTTGTCACTGTTTCTTTCTTCTTCTTTTTTTTTTTTTGAGTAGGATTCTTACTCTCTCACCCAGACTGGAGTGCAGTGGCACATCCAGCCTCAACCTGCCGGACGCAGGTGATCCTTCTGCCTCAGCCTTCCAAGTAGCTGGAACTAGGCGCGCACTACCATGTACAGCTAATTTTATTTTAAAAATTTATTGTAGAGATGAAGTCTCGCTAAGTTGCCCTGGCTGGTCTTGAACCCCTGGGCCCAGGCAGTCCTCTCACCTTGGCCTCCCAAAGTGCTGGGATTACAGGCTTGAGCCACTGTTGCTGGCTGTTTCTTCTACGCTGGCTTTGCAATCTATGTCAGTATTACCTAGTTGTGACTTTTTTCCTTTATCTTAACCTATATGCTCTCTACCATTTTGGAGGAGCCTGTATGCTATAGCTAATAGGACTTGTCTTGGATAAGGATATATGCCAATAAACACATAGATTTGGAGAGAGATAACATAAGGAGGTGGTAGATATCAAGTGAAGTGTGAGGATAGGAAATCAATTAAATACATGGCAGGTAGGACTTAGGACAATCATTGTCAAACAGATTAGGTGGGAAGCCATGGTTAGAAACTGTTGAACCATATGAAATTGTTAGATATGACTATTTTCACCAAACTAATTAATGTGAGGGAAAGGATGATGGGGAGTGGAGCAGAAAAAGTAAACGAGCCAGATCAAAAAGTGCCTAATTTTGTCTGATTACAGATTGTGCTTGCTAGGATTTTCAGCAGATGAGTATTACTTGTATTTTTTTAAAACGTCCACACTTAAGATGAATCTACATTTCATTACCTCAGAGGAAAGAAAACATAATACTGAATTCTAGTTAATTATGCATGGTGAAGTATTTAGGTGGAAGCATACTGATATCTGCAATTTACTTTGAAATGCATTTTTAAAAAGATAGAGGGATGGATAGATATATGATTAAAACAAACAGTAAAGCAATTAAAATATTAGTGGTAGAATCTTGGTGGTTATAGGAGTGTTCACTGTAAAATTTGTTCGGTTTTTATATACATTAGCATTTTTTAATAATAGAATGTTGGAGGTGAAATGCTGAGGTGTGTACCTATAGTCCTAGCTAAGTGGGAGCCTGAGACAGGAGGATTGCTTGAGCCCAGGAGTTTGAGGCTGTAGGTGCTGTGATCATACCTGTGAATAGCTCCAGTGGCTGGGTGACATAGAGACCCGTTCTCTTTAAAAAAAAAAGAAGAAGAAGAAAAGGGAATGTTGGGGGTACATCATTATGAAAAGCAAAATCAGGAATAGCTTTGAAGATGAGGAAAAGTGATTATGTTTCTAATTGATAAAAATGTTATTACTGTAGTTATAAATGGCATATCTAGAAATCACCTAATCTGGGTGTATCCTCTGCACCCAGAGCAGAGCCTAGATCATATTGGGTGCTCAGTAAATGTTTCAAAATGTTAAATATTCCATAATCTCCTAATCATAAAAGTTTTAAAGTCCTTGATGTGCTTGAAGTCCTTAATGTGTAACATACATGCACTTATTATCCTGGGAGCCCTTGTATACTGTATTGTTTCATATAGCACAGATGTACTAAATCATCTACCAACAAATATGTGGTTATTCACCAACAAATATTTACTTAATGTTGTGGTAATAGCTAAGTAATTGGATCACATCATGAATAGGCCTTGTAAAGATCTGACAAAATTTGAATTTTATGCTTGGGTTTTATGTGCTTGATATTGAGAATGATTGTATTTACAGGAAGTGAATTGAAATGGGCCTAGTGCTTTTTTCCCAGATGATTTCTTATTCAGAATTGCTGACAGAAGTGCTGCAATCCCAGCTTATTGTAAATGTGATTCATGATATGATTTTGCTTCCCTTCTTAAAAATGAAAAAAATTTTGAAGGAAAGTTTTGACTGTTTGGATAATCTTAAAATCTTCCCAGGGAACTAAGTACTGATGCCTTCTTTTTTCTCGTTAGTAAACGTTTCCATAGAAAATCTATTATCAGCCAGGCATGGTGACTCACACCTATAATCCCAGCACTTGGGGAGGCAGAGGTGAGAGGACTGCCTGAGCCCAGGGGTTTGAGGCCAGCCTGGGCAACTTGGGAAGATCTCGTCTCTACAGTAAATCAAAAAATTTAACCGGGCATGGTGATGCATGCCTGTGGGTCCAGCTATTTGGAAGGCTTAGGTCCAGGCTACAGTGGCCGTGAGCATGCCACTGCACTCCACCCTAAGCAACCGAGTGAGACTCCTACTCAAAGGGGGGAAGGGAGAAGAGGGGAAGGAGGGAAAGGGAGAAAGAAAATCTATTATCTAGTTAGTTGAGCCCGATACTGGGATATTTTTTTCTTTTCCTTTTTTTTAAGTGGTTAAAAACAAGGATTGGCTTTTTATTGCTTTACTTTTTTACTATTAACCGCTATTTCCAACAGAGATTTCTCTTATTATTTTGGCTTCTTCTAGAATAGAATATCACCAAAAACAGACAACAAACAAAATCTTCGAAAACTAGAAATCAAAAGGTCCACCTCCTTGTTCACTCATAGTTCTTTTTTTCCCTTTAACCTAATGAAGGAATATACTTATATTAATGGCATATATTACTTTCTGATAATTAGTTTTGAGGTAGGGCCTAGTGTGTTATACTTTGTGAATGGGATGAGAAAGGTAAGGTTTTGTGAGATTTAACCAATGATTAGTAGTTTTCTTTATAAAATCTAATTCACAGTTACATGTAATTTGTTGTTGTTGTTGCTGAGTTGAAGTCTCTGTCGCTCAGGTGCAGTGCAGTGGCACACTCACGGCCACCACAGCCTCAACCTGCTGGGCTCAGGTGATCCTTCCACTTCGACTTTCCAAGTAACTGGGATTATAGGTGTGGGCCACCATGCCCGGCCTGCAATAAAATTTAAAATTTGTATTTTAATTGACCACAGAAAGCAGTCTGAGTCCAAGAGAAAATAATTACTTTTGAGTCATCACCAAAAAAATTACTATTAAATATATTAAATGTTTCTTTTCATTTCTTTCTTTTTTTTTTTTTTTTTGAGGTGGAGTTTTACTTTATCCCTAGGCTGGAGTGCAGTGGATCACTCATGGTCACCCCAGAGTCTACCTACTGGGCTCAGGAGATCCTTCCGCCTCAGCCTTCCAAGTAGCCAGAACTATTGGCATGTGCTACCATGCCCGGCTAATTTTTTATTTATTATAGAGATGAGAGCTTACCAAGTTGCCCGGGCTAGTCTTGAACCTGTGGGCGCTCAGGCAGTCCACTCGCCTTGACCTCCCAAAGTGCTGGGATTACAGGCTGAGCCACTGAGGCCAGCTTCCTTTAATTTCTTTATAAATCCTTTAGGTACTAAACTTTGACTTTGATGGATTCTTTCGTATGCTTGTAAAGAAAATCTGAATCTTATCTCACCATTCTTCCCACAGATGTTTTATTATGCAAAACTGAGTATGTATGGGTTAGGAACTGGGTTGTGTGTGTGAATTCTTTTTAGGGTATATTATATATCACTAAGGATAAATATCGGACATTTTTTTCTTTAAATAAATGTTCTTTTTTATTCCCCCCCAACCTATCTTCTTATATTTTAAGTAATTTCTTATGAATCTTGCTTAAGGAGAAAAAACCCTAAAATCTAAAATTTTCTCATAGATGTACTTGAAGGATACAATGGAACAATATTTGCATATGGGCAAACATCCTCTGGGAAGACACACACAATGGAGGTAACATTTTAACAATTTGTACCTTGATGTACTTTGCAGTACATTCATTCATTATTTGTAATATTATTTTACCATGCACAATATCACTGTTTATTCTTTATTGCTTTTTCAAATAAAAATAATAAGTCTGTAACATCATTGCTGGAATCTAATCATTTCCTGAGTTGAATAATAAGGGATACCTATATTTGAGATTATATATAGCTTTATTGGTTAACATAACCACAAAATAATGAACATTTTAGAGTTAAACTGGAGTTTTCCATCACCTTGTTATATAGGACATTTTGATTGTTTTTATGCTGTTGATTATATTCAGTATGATATTTTCTTCTTTATTTTTTTAGAGACAAGTTTCGCCATGTTGCTCAGGCTGATCTCGAACTCCTGAGCTCAGGCAATCCTCTCGCCTCGGCCTCCCAAAGTGCTGGGATTATAGGCGAGAGCTATCGTGCCTGGCTTCTGGCTATTTTCTTCTTCTTCTGTGCTCCCCCTCAAAATACCTTCCACCGTTCTCTGATAAGAATGTTGCCACAATTATTGATGCTGCTGTTAATAATAGATGTGGACCTACTCTACCTTTGCTTCTAGAAAACAGTCTGTGATCTTCTGCCACTGCTACAGGACATCTAATTTATCATTCATCTGGGTGTACTATATAAAATAAATGCTTATTTTAGTGTGATTCGTATTATTCATTTTCCTAAAGCCAGGAAACACAGACATTACCAGCATTCATGTGAATTTGATTGAAGTTGAAGGAATAGTGCAGATTTTTATGGAAAGAAAAACCTTTTTGAATTTGTTCATTTTAGAATCATGGATAATCTAAATGTAGTGGTTAAATAAAGAGTTAAGACAGGTGGTTGATGTACAGTATTATGTATAATAGTTAATTGAGTTTTTTAAAATTACATTTCATTGCCAGCCAAGCTGACAGCCTACCCCATCCCCTCAGCAAACCAACTGAATTGGGTTTTTTCTTTTTCTTTTTGAGTTGGAGTCTCACTCTGTCACCCAGACTGGAGTGCAGTGGCCACTCCCGGCCACCGCAGCCTTGACCTGCTGGGCTCCAGCGATCCTTCTGCCTCAGCCTTCCGAGTAGCCGGAATTACAGGCATGCGCTACCACGCCCGGCTGATTTTTTTGATTTATTGTAGAGATGAGGTCTCGCCTGCCCAGGCGGGTCTCGAACCCTCAGGCTCAGGCAATCCACTCACCTCAGCCTCCCAAAGGCGCGGAATTACAGGCTGAGCCACCGAGCCCGGCTGAATTGGTTTTTTTAGTATTTATAGATCATTTCCACAAAAAATAAAAATTGTATTTTCTGTCCTCTACTGACTGTAAATTGAAAGTTTTTATTTTCAATTTATATTTTATAATTTATTTAAGAAGTCTAATTTTGTTTTCTGTCTAGGGTAAACTTCATGATCCAGATGGCATGGGAATTATTCCAAGAATCGTGCAAGATATTTTTAATTATATTTACTCCATGGATGAAAATTTGGAATTTCATATTAAGGTAAATTCCTTGTGGAAAGTTTATATTTTATTTTACATCTAGAATAACTCTGTTCCAAAAAATAGTAAATTCTAGTTTCTTTCTTGAAGTAATCTTTAAAAACTATTTTTATGGATAGCCATAGTTGAAAGATCTTAGGAGTTAGTAAACTTGAATCCTTGTTCATCTGCCATTAGATGACATTAAATAAGTTAACTAAGTCTTTTATGTCGTTAGCCTCCTTCACCATAAAATACAGGAGGAGTTTACTTAACTACAGAACTCAAATGTTTTACTGTTATAACTATTCTGATTCATTTTAGATGGAAATATGTAATGAAGTGGCTTTTAATTTTAGTTATTTCAGTAGTTTAGGTAATTTATGTCATCCCATTAGAATGTGAGCTATGGCTGGTATGTTGATAACTCTGTCCCCCCAATCTAGACAATGCCTGGCATGCAGATGTCAATAAATATTTAATGAATAAGTAAGTGGAGAAGCTATTTTATAATTTTAATAGGTTGATTTTTTTTTCCCTTTTGTATTTATTTACCCTTTAGGTTTCATATTTTGAAATATATTTGGATAAGATCAGGGACCTATTAGATGGTAAGTTAAATTGTTGTTTGATCAGTTTTAAATAGCACCTGTTACTTTATTTTTAGTAGTAGATGTGAGATCATTTCTTAGTAACCTATGTGAAATGGTCTTATATTATTAGAACTAGACATTTAATTTTTTTCTTTTAAAAGTTTTATTTGACTACCTTTTGCTACATAGAATAACTTGTTTAAAGTACATGTTTATGGATACTTCTTAAGTAGCAATTAGAGTATTGGACTGGTAGAGAACCTGAGCCTGGAATTCTAGAATTCTGTTAACTGTCAGTTAGATACTTTGTCCATGGCAAACCATTGAACTACTCAGGCTTAATATTCTTATTTATAAGATATGGGGGATAGAGGTTGGAATGGACCTAAAATTCTATAATGCTGCACTTGTTTCTGTTTAAGTATGTCTTCTATGTCTACGAGATCTGCATTAAAGTGATGTTTTTGTAGTTTTTAAAGTTTATCTGTTGCTCGAGGAAGCCTGCCAGCTGAATTATTTATTTCACAATCAGTGTTAGCATTTAAGAGAATGTTGCTAATATTGTTTATTTTTCTTTTTCAGTTTCAAAGACAAACCTTTCAGTTCATGAAGACAAAAACCGAGTTCCCTATGTAAAGGTACTTATAAAATAAATAAACAAATGGATGATTGTTTAGAAAAGGCCTGCAATAAATTTTTTAAAGGATAACATACTTTTTAAAAACCTATTTCACAGGGGTGTACAGAGCGCTTTGTGTGTAGTCCAGATGAAGTTATGGATACAATAGATGAAGGAAAATCCAACAGACATGTAGCAGTTACAAGTAAGTAGAGTAACACTGGCTGGGGTATAAATAAAACAGCCTTAAAATATACTTATCCAGTGATTGTGAGCTTCCCCCCCCCTTTTTTTTTTTTTTGAGGGGGGTTTTTTTTGAATTAGAGTCTCACTCGGTCGCAGCTTTTTCTTATGTAAAGTAATGCTTTTGAGAAATTGTTAGTAAGGGAAAGCCATGTTTATTTATAGTTGTTTGTTGTAATTTCATTGCAGATATGAATGAACATAGCTCTAGGAGTCACAGTATATTTCTTATTAATGTAAAACAAGAGAACACACAAACAGAACAAAAGCTGAGTGGAAAACTTTATCTGGTTGATTTAGCTGGTAGTGAAAAGGTAAAATCTTTATATATTCTGATAGATATTTAAGCATTTTTATATATTTTAGCTTGAATTGGAACTTACGCAAGATGCATTGTTACATTTTGAAAACTTGCTAAATTGAATTTGGTAATCTGAGAATTATAACTGTTGATGCCAGTGCTTTATGATTACATAAACTGAATAATCAGTTCCAAATTACTGTTACTTGACCATGGCCTAGTTCAACCAGTAGGTGCCACCTGTACCTTAAAATGTGTGTTTGTATTGAGAACTTGTTTGGCATTATAAATTTTATTAGATATTCCTTTCCTAATTTTTGCTATCTATTCATATTGACAATGAGCTTCTATTAAAACTGGGAACTATCCATTAGTTTTTTCTAGTTTGGTTGTACTTATTGTACTATTTGGATGATTATTTATTACAGTTCTGTAGAATCTTATTCTAGTGTATGTCAAAATCAAAGTAAATTTGAATGTTTCCATATAGGCTTCTGTGACCATTTTTGCTGTTCTACTTATTTTGTTTCTTTTGCTTGGAATGATGTACGTATTCCATTCTATTCAAAATTCTCATACGTGTCTTTCAAAGACTAACTCTAATCTTGAGAATTCTTAGAAGCCATTTTTTCAGCTATCATTACTATTCTTGAAGCAAATTTGCTTATATAATGTGTTTAAATGCAATATGTTTTCTAACATTTAAAAGATCAATATTATGTATTAGCAAATTTTAGAAGATTTCTCTTTTCTAATGCAACAAAGAGGGTTAACAACTTGAGCTACAAATTTATATGTAAATTGATTTTTTTTTTTTTTTAGTTGGAGTCCCACTCAGTCGCCCAGGCTGGAGTGCAGTGGCTGCTCCCAGCCACCGCAGCCTCGACCTGCTGGGCTCCGGCGATCCTTCCACCTCAGCCTTTCAAGTAGCTGGGATTATAGGCATGCGCTGCCACGCCCAGCTGAATTTTTGATTTATTGTAGAGATGAGGTCTCGCGGCCCAGGCGGGTCTCGAACCCACGGGCTCAGGCAATCCACTCACCTCAGCCTCCCAAAGGTGCAGGATTACAGGCTGAGCCACCGAGCCCGGCTGTAAATTGATTATTTTCAAGAGTAACCACAAACTAAAATTGGATGTCTCTTTAATCACATTCTTATCATATGACTAGTTTATTTGACTAGGTTCTTGCAAGAGTAGTGAACAAAAGTGATAGTGGTTAGAATAAATGCTTGGCAATAACATCATGAGGTTTTTTTTGTTATTCTTTCTTTGTTTTTTCCTGGTTATTAATGACCTATGAACTTTATGGAAAATTTAAAGAAAATTATCTTAAACTTGTAATTTTGTTTCATTCTTTAAAATCTTATATATAGGTTAGTAAAACTGGAGCTGAAGGTGCTGTGCTGGATGAAGCTAAGAATATCAACAAGTCACTTTCTGCTCTTGGAAATGTCATTTCTGCTTTGGCTGAGGGTAGTGTGAGTATACATGTCATCTATTTCCCTCTTACCTTATGGAGTATTATTTAAATATAGATATGTATGTTTGCGTGAGTGTGTGTGGATGAGAAAGATTTATTGTGTTTGAATTATATATGCAAATTAGTTGCCTTTTAGTTTATTTTATAGTATTAGTATGTATATCCTAGTTCTCCTCTTAATATCAAGCAGTTAAAATAACCAAAGGAACTTGGTATTTTATTTAAAGTAGCATATTTATATAACAAATGTTATTATATGGAAATGCACTAGTTTTCTTTCTTTGTTTTTGTATGCAGACGTATGTTCCATATCGGGATAGTAAAATGACAAGAATCCTTCAAGATTCATTAGGTGGCAACTGTAGAACTACTATTGTAATTTGCTGCTCTCCATCATCATACAATGAGTCTGAAACAAAATCTACACTCTTATTTGGCCAAAGGTTTGTTGTTTAGAAAATACAAAGCCTAACTGTAGGAAGGCCTTTTGTTTATGAAATTTAGGAAAATGTCAGCTGTTATCAAATCTATGCATATTGTTAGTGGGCTAGACACACTCATTTTCATTTGAGAGACAGATAATGCGAACTAGTACGTCCATTTTTTAGGCTGCTTGGTTTGAGTTAAGTTTTAGTACACATTAAAGTCAAATACTAACTTTAGTCAAATGTATGTGATAAGCTTTAATTTAGCATTATTTTCCTTTTATTACATCTCTTAGGGCTAAAACAATTAAGAACACAGTTTGTGTCAATGTAGAGTTAACTGCAGAACAGTGGAAAAAGAAGTATGAAAAAGAAAAAGAAAAAAATAAGACCCTTCGGAACACTATTCAGTGGCTTGAAAATGAACTCAACCGATGGCGTAATGGTAATAACTTAAGAATTTTTCATCTAAGTTTGTCGAATACAGATTCAGAGCTTATTTATAAATTTGAGATCTTAATAAGATTGTGAATGAACAAGAGAATTCAAAATAATTGTTATTAGTAAGGTCAGTGAACTTCAAGAAAATACAAAGGAAAGAGTTCATTTTAATTTTCCTCATTTAAATTTCCTCATTTAAATTTTCCAAGAAATTTAAGAGACTTTGAAATAACTGTTTAACAATTAGAAATCCTGGAGCTGAGTAATGATACAGTGGCACTTAAGTTTGAGCCAAAGGGAGCTAGCTACAGGAAGCAAACTATGCTCTTAGCCTCTCTCTCCCAAGTCACTTGGTCTGTCTTTCTCTCTAATTACCTACTTTGTGTGTGTGTGTGTGCGTGTGTGTGCTCTGTTTTCTCATTATCAGCTACCTTTTATACTCCAAACTGGAGTGCAGTGTTACAGCTGCTGTTCACTGCAGCCTCAACCTGGGCTCAGGCAATCCTTCCGTCTCAGCCTCCTGAGTAACTGGACTATAGGTGTGTGCCACAATACCTGGGTAATTTTTTTTTTTTTTAGAGAGACAGTGTCTCACTATGTTGCCTAGGCTGGTCTCAAACTCCTGGGCTCAAATGATCCTCTTGACCCTCCCAATGTGCTGGGCTTACAGGTATGAACCACTGCCACGGGACAGCTATTTTCTTATTTCTTTTAAGTTCTGTGTTAGTATCATAGCGATCCTCTCTAACCTTTCTAAAAGTCAAAGGTTGTTAATCTGGGATCCATGGGTACTTCATGAATACCTTTAACATGCTACAAGTGTGTGTTTGTGTATGTGGAATTTTTTTTTTTTTTTTTTTTTGAGAAAAGGTCTATAGCTTTCAATAGTCTCAAAAAAGTCAGATGTTAAAAAAAAAATGTTACTGAATAAATTTTCCATTTCTATCCTTACCGCTAACTGGCATTGAATCTGTAAAGTAAAATTCCCAAGAAAGAGACTCTGGCCCAGCTCATCTTTTTCTACCAGGTTACAAATCATCTTACTACACTGGATTAGCTACCCTGGTGTGAGATGCAATCTCCTGTGCTAATTATCTCTATGATTATGAAACATGGCTACTTATACAGTAGAACTATGAGTTTCACTCAAAAGGAGCCATGAGAGTCTGAGAACTGTAAGTGGCATTACCAGTATACTTCATTAAACAAATATCTGTTGAATGCATATCTTTGGACAAGGCCCATGACTTACTCTGTGGAGTAAACGATTGAATTAAGAATCCTGACATCAAAAAAAGAATTCTGGCATCAAAAGAACGGAGGAGGCCTGGGTAACATAGTGAGACCTTGTCTCTACAGAAATTTTTTATTTTTTTTTATTTTTTTTTGAGTTGGAGTCTCACTCTGTCGCCCAGACTGGAGTGCAGTGGCCGCTCCCAGCCACCGCAGCCTCGACCTGCTGGGCTCCCGGCGATCCTTCCGCCTCGGCCTTCCGAGTAGCCGGAATTACAGGCTCGCGCTACCACGCCCGGCTGATTTTTTGATTTATTGTAGAGATGAGGTCTCGCTGCCCAGGCGGGTCTCGAACCCGCGGGCTCAGGCAATCCACTCACCTCAACCTCCCAAAGGCGCGGGATTACAGGCTGAGCCACCGAGCCTGGCCCAGAAAAATTTTAAAGATAAGCTGGGCATAGTGGTGCATGCCTGTAGTCTCAGCTACTCAGGATGCTGAGGCCGAAGGATCGCTTGAGCCTGGGAGGGGGAGGCTGTGGTGAGCCATGATTGTGTGACTATACTCCAGCCTGGATGATGCCTCAAAAAAAAGTGAGATGAAGGGAATCTTGGAGCTGAAAAATAATCTGAATTTGAAGAGATTATTTAACCATTCTATTGTCCTGTTTTAGGGGAGACAGTGCCTGTTGATGAACAGTTTGACAAAGAGAAGGCCAACTTGGAAGCTTTTGCAGTGGATAAGGATGTTACTGTTACCAATGATAAACCAGCAACTACGATTGGAGTTACTGGAAATTTTACTGATGCTGAAAGAAGAAAGTGTGAAGAAGAAATTGCTAAGTTATACAAACAACTTGATGACAAGGTAGGCATTATTTATTTTAGGTCTGTTTTATTTTTGGAAATTTTGGGCTATTACTGACATAGGTACTTTTATTTTCTAATGCTTCTCATTTTAATATTATGGGTACTTACGATCTATACACCCTTTATTTCTGTTAACTTTAAAAATCATTGTATCAATAGAAAATGTAAATCACATTTTTAGTTTTTGTGTAGAAACTGTGTATATGGGGGCATTTTATCCTTCTTATTTAAGCTAAAAGTACTTTCTAAAGAAAATTTGGGCCAGGTGCGGTAGCTCACACCTGTAATCGCAGCACTTTGAGAGGCCCAGGCAAGAGGAATGCCTGAAGCCAGGGGTTTGAAACCAGCCTGGGCAAGTTGGTGAGACCTTGTTTCTACAATAGATTTTCAAAAATTAGCCGGGCCTGGTGGCACACACTTGTAGTTCCAGCTACTTAGAAAGCTAAGATGGAAGGATTGCCTGAGCCCAGCTGGTTGAGGTTACAGTAACCATGAGTGTTACTGTCCTCTATCCTGGGTGACAGAGTGAGACTCCAACAACAACGAAAAAAATGATAGAAAATTTGGCATTGGATCATTAGGCCTTACTGATATGACCTCTTAGAATCAGAGATCTGAAGACCCTAATAAAATATGAGGAAAGAGGTTAGAAGAAACAGAATAGAGTGAAAATAATAACTTCCTGCTTTGCTCGTAGAAGTCATGTTAATATTGTGAAAAATAACAAATTAAGAACTTAATAGAATGGAAAGCAAGAAAAAAGCAATAAAGAGACCAGAAGAAAATAATTCTTTAAGTTGATTTTTTAAAATGTATTTAGAGCAGAGATAGCAGGTTCAAAGTAGTTACATGACCATTATTTTCAATAATTGCTTTAAACCTATTATTTTTTAATATTTAAAGTATTTAATGAATAGCTTTCAAAAATATAACCCTTTTTTCTTATTGCATGATAAATATGTTATTGATAGTTGAAAGAAATTTCTTCTGTTTCACTGTTTTCTTAAAAGGGAATAAAATAGGCTGGGCTCGGTGGCTCAGCCTGTAATCCCAGCACTTTGGGAGGTCAAGGCGAGTGGATTGCCTGAGCCCGTGGGTTCGAGACCCGCCTGGGCAACTTGGCGAGACCTCATCTCTACAATAAATCAAAAATTAGCCAGGTGTGGTAACGTGCGCCTGTAGTTCCAGCTACTTGGAAGACTGAGGTGGAAGGATCTCCAGAGCCCAACAGGTCGAGGCTGCGGTGACCAGGAGTGGCCATTGCACTCCAGTCTGTGTGACAGAATGAGACTCCAACTCAAAAAAAAAAAAACAAAAAAAAGGGAATAAAATAAACTATGTTGAATTTGGAGAGATAGTTTTGAAATATATCAGAGTAGTAGTAATCTGTATTGCAAAACAAGTAGAACCCTGTTGTTAGCTATTTTGTTAACTAGATACTTTACAAATTCTAGGATGAAGAAATTAACCAACAGAGCCAACTGGTAGAGAAACTAAAGACACAAATGTTGGATCAGGAAGAGGTGAGTTGAATACCTTTCGTATTGCTTCCAGAAAAGCTTTATAGTTTGTTATTATTTAAACATAAAAGATAAATCCATAGAGCTCGGTATTCTAAAGATTATATTTTTAAATTTATTGAACATGTGAATGCTTTACTGTGGGTATCCTATGAGACCCTCATATGTAAAGTTTGACTTTCCTCAAACCTGAAGCAGAGGGGAGAACTTAATTTTTATTTATTCTTTAGTGTATACCTACTGGATTTTTAAACTGTCTCCTACTTTACTTGCTTTGAAGTACAATGCTGTTTATCATGTTATTCTCCCCTAAATGTTTTTTATTGATCTGTGGAGAAGATTTATAACAGCAGGCTATAGTAACCTTAGACTCTCTCTCCCTCAGTGAAAAGTATTTACACATGGATATGAGGGAAGAGATATAAAAACATTTTTATATTCACTTATACACAAGCTATAGATCTGAAGGATTATTAAAGAAATAAAATATTGGTTTGTGAGTCCCATTGACTTTTTCTTTAATAGTTTTATAATTTTGAGTTTGACTCTTTGAATGGGAATGTCACATTAGTGAAATCAATTTTTACACCATCATATCTACCCACGTGCAATATGTGGCTCATTTCTGTCATCTTTATTTTCATTTTAGTTCTTTCATATTTCTCTTGTCTTCTTGTCATCTAGTCTAGACCTTAATTTTATCTTGCCTGGTATAACAGGGGGATAATTGAAAAATAGCCCGTTAAGGTTTTTTTAGGGGATGGGAGGGTGAAGACAGTGACTGTATAGCTTCAATAAGAAACAGATATTCATCACCAATGAAATTAATGATCAGATCATCTTTTTGCTTACTTCCATTTTAGCATTGTGCCTAAAAGGAGCGCTTGCGACATTTTGGTTAGATAATTTTTTTTTTCAACATTTATGAGACCAAGCGTCCCTGGCTGCTACGGGAGTATGGTTAAGAGAAAACTTTAGAGCAAGGGAAGCAATGGTATAGCACTTAACAGCTGTATTGAATCCTGCTTGGGGTCGGATAATTCTTTATGTTGTTCTGTCCTGCACATTATAGGACATTTAGCATCCTTAGCCCCTACTCGTAAATGCCATTAGCATTCTACTCCATTTTTGATACTCCCACACATCTCCACATATTCCTTCTGAAGAACCACTGATCTGGATGATTGTAGTATCCTCCTAAACAATCTCTTGTCTTCCCTCCAGTTCACATTTTTATATGCTGTTACTAAGTTTTTCTGAGGCATAGCACAGATGCCACCACTTGTTGCACAAAGCAATCTAAACTTTTAAGCTATTCTTCTAAACGGCTAATTTATTGATTTTATGCACAGTATTCTTGGGCCTAGAATGCCATTTTCTTGTACTGCATTGATTTGTATGTGACTGAAGTTGTTCTAGCCAACTTTTCCATGAATACCCTCCAGAAATATCCCCCTTTCCTATACTGTTCCTCTTTTGTGGCTCTTACATTCCATCTTGTATTGCACTTATGTACCTATCCTGTCCTCTATTAGGTTCCTCAGTGGCAAAGTCTTTGAATCCTTCCTGTCTTTCAGTGTTCAGCACAGCACCTGCACATAGTAGACATTTAGTAAATCTGCCAAATGATTACATTCTGCCACACTTAGTGGTTTCCATGTTTCATTCCCATTGTGCTAAGCAAGTTGTAAAACTTCATGTATTTTTTTTTTTTAGCCTGTGTATTTCTGGCAAAAATAAATGTTTTACTCTTTGTTATAGCTTCTGGCATCTACCAGAAGGGATCAAGACAATATGCAAGCTGAGCTGAATCGCCTTCAAGCTGAAAATGATGCTTCTAAAGAAGAAGTAAAAGAAGTTTTACAGGCCTTAGAGGAACTTGCTGTCAATTATGATCAGAAGTCTCAGGAAGTTGAAGATAAAACTAAGGAATATGAATTACTTAGTGATGAACTGAATCAGAAATCGGTAGGATATAGTTTTGTTTTCTTTAATACTTTTGTGCAGGTATTCTTAAGTCAAAAATTACTTAAGTAATTTATTTTTATATAAGTCAAAGGTTGATAACATCAATTCTCAAAGACTCCGGTTTCAAATTCCTTCTATATATAAAGTCTTAAAGGTAGAAGAAGACAGTTATCTTTTTAACTCCTAAAGATTTGTTATATCTAAGTTAAGTGTTATTTTAAAAGATGTTGGCTATTCCTGATGTGTATTACTAATGTTAAAGGAAAAAAGATTAAAAATTAGCTTCTAGTTGCTCGGTAAAGCTATTAGACAACTATTCAAACTATAAATTAAGAAACATACAATAAAAATGAAAATGCTATTTACGAATTGTTTAGAGTAGTCATATGGATATATAACTTATGTAATTTTATGTTTATGTTACTGTTATATTCCCACCATCTGGAACTGTGCCTTCCTAGCACAGTGTAGTAGGATCTTCCTTGTGGTTCCCTAGTAGATGGGGATTTACTTGTTATTATTGCTAGAGGGCAGAGATTGGCAGCCTCCAACAGTATTGCCAGAAATTGTTTATAGCTGTGATTGTTTCAACATCACCATGGATGAGCTGTTTTCTTTTAGTTTTTTTGTTGTTAATGCTAGTTTGTTTAAAAATCAGCACCTAGAATTAGACTCAGAATCACTGCCCACCATTTATTCCCTATTCATCTGCATTTGGCTAAAGGAAAGCAGTACAAAATAACACTTAAAAAGGTTTTCTGTGGAAGGCTGAGGCGGAAGGATCGCCGGAGCCCAGCAGGTTGAGGCTGCGGTGGCTGGGAGCGGCCACTGCACTCCAGTCTAGGCGACAGTGAGACTCCAACTCAAAAAAAAAAAAAAAAAAAGGTTTTCTGGGCCAGGTGCAGTGGCTCATGCCTATAAACCTGCACTTTGGGAGGCTGAGACGGGGATTGCTTGGGCCCAGGAATTCGAGACCAGAATGGGTGACATAGCAAGACCTCGTCTCTACAAAAAATAAAAAGTAGTCCCAGCGACTCAGGAAATTAAAACAGAAGGATCACCTGAGTCCAGGAAGTTAAGGCTGTGGTGAGCCATGATTACACCACTATACTCCAGCCTAGGCAACATCAAAAAATTAGCTGGACGTGGTGGCATGCACCTGTAGTTCCAGGTATTTATAAGGCTGAGACAGAAGGATCACCTGAGCAGATCGAGGCTGCAGCATGCCACTGCACTCCAGCCTGGGCGATAGAATGAAACTCCAACAAATAAATAAATAAATAAAATTTAAACATGTATGGTAGAAGCATGCTACATTATGAGACTTGCAAGATAACTGATATCATATTGTACATGAAATTAGATGAGCACACACACTACTGATATTTGGAAATTTAAGGAAATTACCAACCACCAAGGAAACAAACAGTTGAAATGATGGCATCTTTACTGAAAGATACTAAGAGTCAACATGTTGAATTAAAAATGTCATACATGTTGAGCTTATCTGAAAGACTTGGGACCAGAAGTCTTAAGCATTTCAGATTTTGGAATGTTGTGTTATGCTTACTGTTTGAGTTTTTTTTTTTTTTTAATTGGAGCCTCATTCTGTCTCCCACGCTGGAGTGCAGTGGCACGCTCACAGCCACGATACCCTCGACCTGTTGGGCTCAGGTGATCCTTCCATTTCAGCCTTCAAGTAGCTGGAACTACAGATGTGCGCCACCATGCCCGGCTAATTTTTTTGATTTATTGTAGAGATGAAGTTTCACCAAATCGCCCAGGCTGGTCTTGCACCCCTAAGCTAAGGCAGTCCTCTCGCCTTGCCTCCCAAAAATGCTAGGATTACAGGCTTGAGCCACTGTGCCCGTCTTTGGTTGAGCATTTCTAACCCACAAATCTGAAATGCTTTAATGAGCATTTTCTTTGAGAATCATGTAAACACTGAAAAAGTTTCAGATTTTGGAGCATTTCGGGTTGGGGATGCTCAACTTTTATCTGATTTGTGATATGATGAATAGTTTTAAAGTGGACCAAATTGGGTTGGAATTTTCAAAATGTGGTGACATTGTAACTGATAAACGAACTATTACTTTAAACTTATAATTAGAGTAACTAAGTTGAGATAATAATATTACTTCATCACTAGCTCCTGGATAATTGCTTGGATCACAGTGTCAAATCATTATGTGAATTCTTTACAGTAAATATATAGAAACTAGATAAAGATAGCTAACTAATCATGTATAAAACTGTCAGTTTTGTTCTAGAATTAATTTGCTCAGACCCAAAGATAACCCATAGCATAGTAATAAATGGGACTCAAACCTAGTGAAGTTTTAAGTTTCCTATTTCTAGACAAAATACCTAATCTCAAAAATTAAGTGAAATAATACAAATTGCTTGCTCTTAATGGATTTTTTTTTTAAATTTGAGCCGAGAGCTAACCCAGAACTCAGTAAATAGTTCAAGAAAACAAAAGCAGAAAATAAATCATTTTGTAAGGGCTAGATGAAGAACTTGAAATACCTATGAATATTTGAATTGAGTTTTCATTTAATAGATTTAACTATACTTGTTGTTTTGGGTTCTGTTAGGCAACTTTAGCGAGCATAGATGCTGAGCTTCAGAAACTTAAGGAAATGACCAACCACCAGAAAAAACGAGCAGCTGAGATGATGGCATCTTTATTAAAAGACCTTGCAGAAATAGGAATTGCTGTGGGAAATAATGATGTAAAGGTAAATATAATAACTAAATATTAAGTATAATTATCTGTATACAGCTTGTACTTTTTGTTTACTGCTTATTTTTTACAATGTTATTTTCATACTAATTATCTCATCCTTACAACAGCTATGGGTGGTAGATGGTATTAATTTAATTTTAAATAGACGCGAGCAGAAAATAACAAATGGACATATTTGGTAAGTATCATTTATTGGATTTCTTTTTTGCTTGTTTGTTTTGGCTGGCAATCTGCCTCTTTTAAAATGTAACATTTGCTGCTTAGATGGTTTGATATAGAACATCTTTCTTTTCCTTTTTTTGAGTTGGAGTCTCACTCTGTCACCCAGATTGGAGTGCAGTGGCTGCTCCTGGCCACTGCAGCCTCGACCTACTGGGCTCCGGCGATCCTTCCGCCTCAGCCTTCCAAGTAGCTGGAACTACAGGCGTGCGCTACCATGTCCAACTAATTTTTTTTATTGTAGAGATGAGATCTCGCCAAGTTGCCCAGGCGGGTCTCGAACCCGTGGGCTCAGGCAATCTGCTCGCCTCGACCTCCCAAAGCACTGGGATTACAGGCTGAGTCACCGAGCCCGGCACAGCTTTCTTTTCATTCTGAATTTGGAAGTTCTGTACAACTGGTATTGGATTTCATGTTTTATTCTTTGCTATATAAAGATTTTGTGCTTAGAAATTATCTTAATACATTACTGTATGTGAAAAAGTATGTGATTGGAATGACAGTGAAGGTTATTATCTCAAGGAATACATTCTTAAATGAATTGGCTTGTGGTTGCTTTGAATGTTTAAATAAAGGTAAAAGATGAACACTGCTTAGTTAATTTTTTTAAGTTTTAACATGAAAAATGTCCCATGTATAATAGTAGAGGGATAATATAATGAACTGTAGAGTTCTTCATTACCAAAATATTGTCATACTTACTTTATGCCTATTTTTGTAATAATCTTTTTAAGAATACTAACCCTTTGCACTTGGATATCCCCTCTGAAGGGATATAGAGAGATTACTGGTGATTATACAGGACAAATTTATGCCAGTGCAGATTTTTCAAAAATGCATGTTTCCTTGAAGTTTTCCACTCAAAATTGCACAAAAAAGCAAAGAGATGGAATGTATACTGAGATATACTTTTAAAAAATGCTTTCACAATGGTACACAGACTGGACAGTAAGCTACATTAATGTGAGAGAAATAAAATGAGACTATAATGTTTGCGCAAATAGAAAAATACCAGGTGTAGAAGACACCAAACAAATTACTATTGCACATGTATCAGTGAACCAGCAATCTATGTCAGTAACTGTTTCTTTTTTTTTACTTTTAAATACGTGGGATACAATTCAGGATTAGGTATACAAATGGTCATTGTACAGGTAAAGTTTGGACCCCACTTTGGTCCCCACTTTACTTGGTTTGAGATAGGTACCTTTATTGATGAAGTCCCCCCATGACTGTTTGACATGTTACCACATGTTAGAAAAATTTAAGATACTAAATTTTGATTTTTTTTGTCGTAAGATAGTTTCTCAGTGTCCAAAATTCTATTATAAGCCAAATACCATTATGATAAAATAATTGGTTTCAGTGCTATATTTAATATGAAGTGATTAATTTTTTATTCTTTTGTAAAAATACTGTCGAGTTGCTGGTAGGTGATCCATGAGATGTCCAAGTGCAGAGGGCTAATTTGGTTATGTTAGCATTAGGTTTTTGACTCGTAGATTTTAAAACTTAGAACAAAAAAGTGAACTAAGACTCTTAAATGCACACACATAACATGAAAGATTTGTATGTTGCAGTAACTGTTTGTTTTGATTAAAGCCTAGTTACAGTAACAAAGAGAACATACTTAGCACTTGGCTTTTTAGTGACAGCCTGCTCAGTTTAATAATGAGTTGGAAATTAAATAAAAGTTTTCAGTATGGAGCACACATTCCGTCTGTTGTATAAAGTTGCTGTTTACTGATGAGGCAAGGATTCTTGTGACTTTTCTCATACCATGTTATTTATTCATAAAACAAAGGAAATATGTTATCTTTAACTATCAGGTAACTGGATCTGTCTTCTCCATCAGTCTCAGCATTCTGCCCTATCCTGTTTATGGTGAAGTAATATGAGATAGATATATGGGAATCTTTTAGTATGGAAAAGTAGATCCAAAATTTGCTTTGCATATTTGCAACTTATTTTTAGAAAAATATTTCCATTTCATTTTCAAATAATAGTAAGTGAAAAAGTGGTACGGATAGAGAAAATAAAGAGTAGAATTAGATTCTCTAACTTCTAGACTGCCTTTTTCTCTATATCATTATAGCATTTTGAAAATAAGTCAGCCTTGCAAAGGTACTTTTTTTTGAAAAAAATATCCTCAGTATTTTTGTTGTTTATACATAATTATTTTCCTGTCATCATCAGCACTGTTTGAGCTCACTTTTTTAAAACATTGCAGTTCATCCTTTGTGTTTTATAGTTTTATATATTTTAACAAGTACATAATATTATAGATCTACCATTACAGTTCCAGTCAGAATAGTTTCACTTCCCTAAAAAATTCCCTGTGCTTTACCTATTCATCCCTAGTCTCTGTTCCCTAGCAATCACAGATGTTTCTACTATCTATAGTTTTGCTGTTTCCAAAATGTTAAATAGTTGGGCTCATATGTTATGTAGCCCTTTCAGACTAGGTTCTTTCACTTTGCAATGTGCATTTCAGATACTTCCATGTCTTTTTGTAGCTTGATAGTTCATTTCTTTTGACACTAAACAATATTCCAATGTATGAACATACCACAGTTTGTTTATCCATTTACCTACTTGGTTACTTCCAGTTTTTGACAAATATGAATAAAACTGCTATAAACATTCATGGGCAATTTTTTCTGTTTTCAATTCAGGATAAAAATAACTAGGAGTTTGATTGCTAGAGCATGTGTTAAGACTATGTTAGCTTTGTAAGAAACTCCAAAGCTGTTTTCCAAAGTGGTAGAAGCATTTTGCATTCCTACCAGCCATGAATGAGAGTTCCTGCTGCTCCCCATTGTCACCAGCATTTCGTGTTGTCACTTTTTTGGATTTTACTAGTGTTATCTTGTTGTTTTAATTTGCAGTTGGGTTGTTTATTTTCTTATTTTAAATTTTAAAAGTTTATTTGTATGTTTTGGATATAAGTCCTTTATCAGATAGTGTTTTGCAGTATTTCTCCCGGTCTGTGACTTGTCTTTTTTATTCTCTTAATAGTGCCCTATAGAGCAGAAATTTTGAATTTTGGTGATGTACAGCTTGCTGGGTTTTTTGTTCATGGATTATGTTTTTGGTATTATATTTAAAAACTCATCACCAAACCCAAGACTACCTAGATTTTCTCCTGTATTGTCTTCTCATTTTTTTGTTGTTTTGCATTTACATTGAGGTCTGTGATTTATTTGGAGTTAATTTTTCTGTAAGGTGTAACATCTGTGCCAGGATTATAGCATTGTGATTTAAATTTTAAGTTCCAGTTGTTTATTTTTGTTAAAAAAGAAGTGATTGACTTTTGTATATTAACCTTGTATCCTTAATTGTGCTGTAATGGCTTATTTGTTTCAGGAAGGGTTTGTTTTGTTTTGTTTTAATTATATGTTCAAAGACAGTTTTATTCCTTCCCAAACTTGACTTAATTTTGACTTTGATTATTTTATTGGAATTTTGTAATGACACCTAAGAAAATTAAAAACAGTGACCACAGTTCCTCCTGGTTGAGTTTACAAATCATACTTTCCTTATCATGTAAACATTCTCTTGTTAAGTTTTTTTTTGTTTGCTTTTGGGTTTTTTTTGAGTTGGAGTCTCACTCTGTCGCCCAGACTGGAGGGCAGTGGTCACTCCCGGCCATTGCAGCCTCAACCTGCTGTGCTCCGGCGATCCCTCCGCCTCAGGCTTCCGAATAGCCAGAATTACAGACATGTGCTACCATGCCCGGCTGATTTTTTGATTTATTGTAGAGATGAGGTCTCGCCAAGTTGCCCAGGCGAGTCTCGAACCCGCAGACTCAGGCATTCCACTCACCTCAGCCTCCCAAAGCGCAGGATTACAGGCTGAGCCACCGAGCCCGGCTCTCTTGTTAAGTTTTAAAGTGAACTTGCATATGAATAACAATAAATTTATGGAATAGGTTTATAAATATAAAATATAAAAACTAAAAGGGGAAATATAAAAACTGAAAGAGGCAGAAGTCATATGTTTTTAAGGTTTACATTCATTTCTTTTCCTTGCAGGATTATTTTAAGTTTTAATAAGTAGGAAAGATCAAAAGTAAACTCTATTTGCCCTTTACTGAAAACCGTAATAAAAGTAAATTCCAGACTGCCTTTGAGTATTGAATATTATTAAAATTTATTTTCTTATAGGATTTTAGAGTCTAATTGAGAAAACACACACTGAACATTTTTGCCTTTAATTTTTTATTTTAATTTTTTCTCACAGCAACCTGAGGGAACTGGTATGATAGATGAAGAGTTCACTGTCGCAAGGCTCTACATTAGCAAAATGAAGTCAGAAGTAAAAACAATGGTGAAACGTTGCAAACAGTTAGAAAGCACACAGACTGAGAGCAACAAAAAAATGGAAGAAAATGAAAAGGAGTTAGCAGCATGTCAGCTTCGTATCTCTCAAGTATGTTACAGAACAAAGTTGTATAAATTTTACATATATAAAAGTTCCAGAAAAATGAGCTTATATGGGTTATCTTGAGTAACAAAATAAAAAAATAGTTTAGTCCATTATTGTTCCTAGCCCGGCTGCAGTATAATAACTTGAATAATTTAACTGGGTTATTGAATAATTTGACTGGGTTATACATGTTAACTGCTAACATGTATATGGGTTACATACATAAATTTACCAAAAAGATGTAATTGATGGTGACTAGTGAAAAAATTCCAGGGGGCCAGTTTTCTGGCTTTGGCAACTGAGTTAATGGGACCATTCACTAAGATAGGAATTTCACCCTTGTAACATTAGGTAGAGATAAATGTGAGTAGTGCTTTGTGTTTCATTCTTCAGTGCCTTAGTTTACAAATCACACTCATAGCCATTTAATTTGTTAAATTCTTTAACATTTTAAATCTGGTCCCTGAACATTTTAGGTTTAACTACCTTCAAATTTATTACACATTTAGATGTATCCGTAAAACTTGTTTACTTTCAAATAGTTTTAACAATATGTGTGCATAAGATATTTTTTCCACTTCATATCAGTATGTTTCTTCCAAAAGCATGAAGCCAAAATCAAATCATTGACTGAATACCTTCAAAATGTGGAGCAAAAGAAAAGACAGTTGGAGGAATCTGTTGATTCCCTCAATGAAGAACTAGTTCAGCTTCGAGCACAAGGTATTAGCTTCTAACTTTATAATTATAGTCATTCTCATTTTAGTATAATGATAGTAAGCATTCACACTGATAGAAATTACTAGGAATGGTAAACATATCATACACTTTAATACACATATTTTTTAAGATGGTATTTGAATATAGAAATGGCCAATCTGGGAATTTCTTACAAAGTTATGCAGTTGTGTGTATGTGTATAAATCTTAACATAGGAGACTTAGAAGCAATTTCATTTTGCTGCTATGCCATTAACCCATCTGTTCTTGGATTAGGGAAAGAAAATACGTGAAAGAATCCATAATATCAACACAGCAGATAGAACTAAGTGTACTAGTCAGCATGTCATTGAGCTTGGAGAGCAAGATTTTCTATGTGACATTTGGATAATTTAAATCGAGTACTGCTAAGGAACATTCTTTTCATAAAATTTTTACTCCTTGGTTTATATGAGGAACTGTAAGACTTATTTCGCTCTTCTGTTTTCTCTTGCTACCCAGAGAAAGTCCATGAAATGGAAAAGGAGCACTTAAATAAGGTTCAGACTGCAAATGAAGTTAAGGCAAGTTTGTTGTTACATTGGATTCTAATGGCTTTAATCCTTCATTATTAGTGTTGATTATTCTGACTTAAAGCATGCTTTTCCTCTCAAAATTTTAGCAAGCTGTTGAACAGCAGATCCAAAGCCACAGAGAAACTCATCAAAAACAAATCAGTAGTTTGAGAGATGAAGTAGAAGCAAAAGAAAAACTTATTACTAATCTTCAAGAGTAAGCATTATACTTTTACCTTTGATATTAACAACTGAGAAAGATTGACTATTTAGACAGGAAGAAATAATAGGTTACTAATGGACAGTATGTCCTTATTGGAAACCTAGAGTCTTGTGCCTATAATCCCAGCCCCTCAGAGGATGAGAGGAAGGTTTACTTGAGTCCAGGAGTTCAAGACCAGCCTAGGCAACACAGCAAGATTCATCTCTACAACAAAACAAAAAATAAAGGACTTTCTTATTTATGAGTAAAACTTCTAAGTTCCAGGTTAAATTTTTTAAAAATTGTCTTAGGTTTTTTTTTTTTTTAATCTAAATATTCAATAAAAAGGAAAAAAATCCTCAAATGAAGCACATTATTGCAAATAGATACCATAGTCTCCTTCAGATTATTTGCTTAACTTTTGTATACACACACACACACACACACACACACACACACACACACACACACACACACACACACACACAAACTGAGAAACACTTCGTTAGAAATTATGGGTTATCAGGCAGGCTTGGTGGCTCAGCCTGTAATCCCAGCACTTTGGGAGACTGAGGTGAGTGGATTGCCTGAGCCCGCGGGTTCAAGACCCACCTGGGCAACCTGGCGAGACCTCATCTCTACAATAAATCACAAATTAGCCGGGCGTGGTAGCGCGTGCCTGTAGTTCCAGCTACTTGGAAGGCTGAGGCGGAAGGATCTCCAGAACCTAGCAGGTCGAGGCTGTGGTGGCCAGAAGCGAGCCACTGCACTCCAGTCTGGGTGACAGAGTGAGACTCCAACTCAACAACAAAAAAAGATGTGGGTTTTAACAGTTTTTTTTTTAAACAGAATTTGTCTTCTTTGTTTATCTAGTTGTTTCTCTACTTCTGTAACCATGTTTCTCTACTTCCATAAAACTATGTGTGCATGCATAGAATTGATAGAAATTGAAGTCTACGATGATTTGAGTTGCAACCAGAGGAGAGGGAAGAAAATGATGATGAAATTTGGGTCATGGTCTTACTATTAATACCTAATGGAAGTTGAGATAAGGATTCAAAACAGTGAAAGACTGCAAAATAAAATAATGATTTCAAACCAAAATAAGAAAAATATGTTGGCCGGGCTTGATGGCTCAGCCTGTAATCCCAGCACTTTGGGAGGCCAAGGCAAGTAGATTGCCTGAGCCCACAGGTTTGAGACCAGCCTGGACAACTTGGTGAGACCTTGACTCGACAATAAATAAAAAATTAGCAAGGCACGGTAGTGTTCGCCTATAGTTCCAGCTACCTGGAAGGCTGAGACGAACGATTGCCGGAGCCCAGCAGGTTGATGCTGGGGTGACTGTGAGTGTGCCACGGCCCTCCAACCGGGGCGAAAGGAAAGGAAAAATAAATATGTGACTCCACATAGCTAGGTCCCCTCTCTCTTTTCCCTCAAGGGGGACAGAATAGCAAAGGCCTTGAGTGTTTAAAACAGGTTATAGTATTTAAGAGTTTGAAAAATTTTAATGACGACATTCAGAAAACCATGATGTTGATGTTGTGTTACGTTTTTTGTCAGCCAAAACCAGAAAATGATGCTAGAACAGGAACGTCTAAGAGTAGAACATGAGAAGTTGAAAGCTACAGATCAAGAAAAGAGCAGAAAACTACATGAACTTACGTGAGTAACTGTTTTAATTAAAGTTTAAAAATAAAAACTAAATGAGGATTGTAGGCATTACCCTTGGATATATCAAGTGGATAGATATTTTACTTTGTATGGGCTAAAAGATGTCTTTCTTAAGTCCTCTGAGTTGATTTGACTATAATATAAAAAAACTTGAAATACACACTTGTACTTATTGAAAACAAGGTCTTCTATTTCAGTGGTGATCAAGATCTAGATTCCTGTTTATCAACCTGCTTGCTGTTTCTGTGTTACTACTATGTTATTTCAGGATCCAGCATAAAAATGAACCTAAAACATTACATTAAGTACTTTAGAAGATTTCAGGATCTGTCACAAAATTTTTGCCAAATTGATCTTTCATAAAATAATATTAATTATTTTAGCCTTACCTTTTTGAGCAGAGGTTTTTCACTGTTTATTTTTTCTCAGTTATTGAATCAATATTCAGTGTCCTAGAGTCTGAGCCAGATAGAAACCTGATGATTGTAATTTTTCACATACCTTGAATTTGTTAAGACAATTTGAAATGAACTGTTAATTATTAGCAATTAGACCATTAGGACCAGTTAATCTCTTCCATTGCTATGTGAGGAGGTTTGTTTTTTGTTTTTGTTTTTCTTGTAATAAACTGTAGATTTAGAAGATACAGATTTAGATTTAGATTTAGGCATATACAAATTTCTTGAGGCTAGATACTGTAGCTCACTTCTGTAATCCCAGCACTTTGGGAGGCCAAGGCAAGAATATTGTTAGAGGCCAGGAGTTCAAGACCAGCCTGGCAAACCTAGCAAGACACTCAATCTGTATATATAAAATAAATTTTATGAATAAATAAATAAAATTTCGTGAGAGACAACATGGATAAGCGTTTAAAAAATAGCATCTTTAATTTATTTAAATCTAAAAAATGATCCTTTCAACTAAGTACAACTAGGATTTTATGGAATCAAAATTGAAAATACATAATATATATTCTTCTACCGTTAGGGTTATGCAGGATAGACGAGAACAAGCAAGACAAGACTTGAAAGGTTTGGAAGAGACAGTGGTAAGAAAAACATGAAAATAAATAAAATTGGGAAGCATTTTGTGGGATTTTTCCCCCCACCCTGATTGTCTTACATTTGTACTCTGAATTCCAAAAATATTGCTGTTCTAAATTCAAGGCAAAAGAACTTCAGACTTTACACAACCTGCGCAAGCTCTTTGTTCAGGACCTGGCTACCAGAGTTAAAAAGGTAATATAACTGTACTGAAGTGGGTATTTGTATAAATAGTGCTTACTGTGTGTAATTCTTTGTATTCATAAGTGAAATAATTTTACATTGCTGTGTCAACTTTCATATAATTAAGCTTAGAATTTTTTTCATCTTTAAATTTTTATGTAGTATTCATTAACCTTCTTTTCTCAGAGTGCAGAGATTGATTCTGATGACACTGGAGGCAGTGCTGCTCAGAAGCAGAAAATTTCCTTTCTTGAAAATAATCTTGAACAGCTCACTAAAGTGCACAAACAGGTAATCGAGTCTATTTTGTGGTAGCTGCAGCACTGTAAGAATAAAAACTTGAGGAAAGAGTCCTAAGGAATTTTCATACCCTGAGCTATCTATTTTATCAAAAAATTATATAAAGATACTACTAGTAACTTTTTTAGGGGAGTTAATATTTTTAACAACTTTATTCTTAAAAGAGGCAGTATATACTTATTTTCTCTTTAGAATTTCAGGACTCTTGAGTTTTCTTAACTTATTTGTGGTAATTTTTAAATCTCTGATAGGCAAGTCTTTCCAGTTAAAACATGATCTTGGGCTGGGTGTGGTGGCTCACGTCTGTAATCCCAGCACTTTGGAAGGTTGAGTCAAGAGGATCACCTGAGCTCAGCAGGTCAAGGCTGCAGTAGCCATGAGAGTGCCACTGCACTCCAGCCTGGCCAACAGAGTGAGACTCTGGCTCAAAAAAAGATCTTTTTTGGGGGGGAGATCTTTTTATACTTAATTCTCCGGTGTATAAAATATGTAATGAGCCAGTTGGTATTTTAAAATGATAATAATGCTGCTCACTGTGGGTTTTTTGGCTTAATTTTTATTGTAACTTGATATATGATTTAGATTACTAGTAGAAAAGTTTCTTGCCATACTCAATTGTTAAATCTTTGTTACTGTAAACATGATATTTTCATCTAGGTTAAGGTTCGAGACAGTTTAGCTCTTATTGTCTTAGTGTTTACTTGTGCACTTACTATATCTTAAGGGATGCTTATTTCACCAGATTAGTTATCTTACTGAAGAAACGTAGCATTGTATTGTAATTTATTGCCTAGTGGGGAGAACAGTCCCCTGCTAAAAAATTAAATGAAATAGATCTTTGTGAGAATTATTTGTGTATATGTATGGATATATGTATTCCCTGCATGTTGCTGCCTAAAGTAGCTAAATGGAAAACCTTAATATAAAATGTACTTCTATTTTTTTTCTAAGGAGCAGTCATGAAATGCTCATACTTTTTTCAGATCATCTTACTAAAGCCAGAATCCTTGTTTTCTTTGTGTACCTTTAGTTGGTACGTGACAATGCAGACCTTCGCTGCGAACTTCCTAAGTTGGAAAAGCGTCTTCGAGCTACTGCTGAAAGAGTGAAAGCTTTGGAGTCAGCGCTGAAAGAAGCCAAAGAAAATGCATCTCGTGATCGCAAACGCTATCAGCAAGAAGTAGATCGCATCAAAGAAGCAGTCAGGTCAAAGAATATGGCCAGAAGAGGCCATTCTGCACAGATTGGTTAGTAGAACACCTTAAAGCCTTCAAAATTTTACTTAGTTCGAAATGCTTTAATTTAGCTGAAAACATAATCTGAATTTTATAATGTGTTGTCATGGTGTGTCTGTCTTTCTCTTTTAACTTACCAAAGAGTGACACTGTTGGGAAAGAAAAAAATTGAGGGATGATACATTAACAGGACAAGAAGATAAGAACTGGAGACGCACACAAGAATGGTCAGGGATAGGAGACACTAGATAGAACAGTATTATTAAAGCAGAGAGAGTTACAAGAAAATAATCAGAAATTATTTCATGCTTCAGACTAATCATTGGTGCAGAAAAAAGATTTTTAAGAAGCTGAGAATTGTACAGGCCTTGGAGAGAAGGATGTAACTTAAAAGAAAAAGAAAGAAACAAAAAGCAAAGAAAAGCAAAACATTTAGAATTTGTTGTGAATAAAGAGACTTAAGCAGTCAGTATAGTAAGGTGTTAAGCTTTATTTTAAAGTCATCTGTATTTTTCCTGTCAGCTAAACCTATTCGTCCCGGGCAACACCCAGCGGCTTCTCCAACTCATCCAAGTGCAATTCGTGGAGGAGGTGCATTTGTTCAGAACAGCCAGCCAGTGGCAGTGCGAGGTGGAGGAGGCAAACAAGTGTAAACGTACACACACCCACAGGTTTGTAGTTTATATCTGGCTTTTCATAGCTATATTTCAAAAAGGTGAGCCATTGGTTGTTAAATAGGTTTATAGATTTTTTTCAGTTCTCACATAGGTTTTTTTTTTTAACTTAAATTGATTGTGAAAGTAATTTAGCATGGTTTCTTCTAATCATTTTTGTCGTTCAGATCATGTTATCCTAATTTTTCTTCTTAATTGTTTTTTTTTGTTGTTGTTGAGCTGGAGTCTCACTCTGTCGCCCAGACTGGAGTGCAGTGGCCGCTCCTGGCCACCGCAGCCTCGACCTGCTGGGCTCCGAAGCTGATCCTTCCACCTCAGCCTTCCAACTAGCCGGAATTACAGGCATGTGCTACCACGCCTGGCTGATTTTTTGATTTATTGTAGTGATGAGGTCTCGCTGCCCAGGCGGGTCTCGAACCTGCGAGCTCAGGCAATCCACTCACCTCAGCCTCCCAAAGGCGCGGGATTACAGGCTGAACCACCGAGCCCGGCCTTCTTGATTGTTTTTAACCCTGACATGTTGTATTATTTCTAATAGCTCTTGGTAATTTTTTCTGATATATCATGGTTTATATGGACATTTAATTATGTTTATGTGTGTTAATTTATCCCGTTTGAAATTTTCCAAAACTGAAACTTCTATATGTGAAATTTAAAACAGCTTTTTGTACTTTTCTTATCTTTTACATTATTTCCAGAAGTGGAATTACTGTGAACATTTTTAAGGCTCTTGCTGCATATTAACATATTGCTTTCTAGAAAGACTATACCAAATTGCATATTAGTTAGGGTTACTGTTTATTTTGTTATATCCTTGCCAGCATTGAATGTTAGTCGTTATTAAGCTTAGTTTTTTTGTTTGTTTTGAGTCAGGGTTTCACTCTGTCACCCAGGCTGGAGTGCAGTGGCACGATCACAGCTCACTGCAGCCTCTATCTCCTAGGCTCAGACGATCTTCCCTTCTCAGCCTCTGGGACTTTAGGCATGTGCCACTACACCCAGCTAACTTTTTTCATTTTTTTGTAGAGATGAGGTCTCCCTATGTTGCCCAGGCTGATCTTGAATTCCTGGCCTCAAGTGATCCTTCCACCTCAGCCTCCCAAAGTGCTGGGATTACAGGCGTGAGTTACCATGCCCAGCCTAAGCTTCTAATTTAATCGGCCAAAAAGAGCGACTTTTACTGATTTATCATTAAAGTTGTATTTTTTATTATATATATATATATATATATATATATATATTTTTTTTTTATTTTTTTTTTTTTTTTTTTTGAGTTGGAGTCTCACTCTGCCACCCAGACTGGAGTGCAGGGGCCCCTCCCGGCCACCGCAGCCTCGACCTACTGGGCTCCGGCGATTCTTCCGCCTCAGCCTTCCAAGTAGCCAGAATTACAGGTGCGCACTACCATGCCCTGCTGATTTTTTGATTTATTGTAGAGATGAGGTCTCACTGCCCAGGCGGGTCTCGAACCCGCGGGCTCAGGCAATCCACTCACCTCAGCCTCCCAAGGGCGCGGGATTACAGGCTGAGCCACCGAGCCCGGCTTATTATGTATGTTTAATGGTCCATTTGTACTTCCTTTTTTATAAGTTCTCTGTCTTTTTTTTCATTTACCTATTGTGAGCACTTTTCTAACAGATTTATGGGTTTTATTTTTTTTATAGTTATACAAGTAATATCTCTTTTAGGGGAATTTTTAGAAATCATAAATTAGAAGATAAATATTTAGAGATATTACCAAGATAATCTTTCTGTACATACAACTTTTAAATTTAAAAGTTTAAGCTGCTGATAACTATTCTAATAACATTCTATACCTGTTCTACATATGTCTAATTTGTAGCTTGCTTTTTAAACTCAGCAATATATTTTGAACATTTTCTTAATTAATAGCTGCCTAATATTTCATCATGAGACAAAGACTCTGATATTAAACCTTCAGTGTAGGTGCTTTGGAAATGAAAAATAATAAATAATTATTAAATGGTTAACTGTTAATTGTTTCTGACAAATACTAAAGCCAGTTAATTTAATCTTTCTTGTTTTTACTTTGACATTTTGCCTAGTATTGGCTCTAAATTTGAGTAGAGAATTAATCAATATTGTGGACTCATATTTCTTACAATTTAATATAATAGTTTGATCACACAGTATAGGATTTTGAAAGAGTGAGTGAAAGGAACATGGACTATAGGGTTTCATCCAAATGCCAATTCTGACTTTTCTACTTTTTAAAACTTGAACAAGTAACTTTTTAAACAGTTTTTCATTTTGACGTCTTTTTAAATGGTTCAGCATAAAAATAAATTATGGATGTATGGCCTAATTGTTTAATGGTTCTCTAAAACGTAACAATTTTCTACATAGCCACAATAATATCACACCTAACAAAATGATGTTTTTTGTTTTTGGGGGGTTTTTTTGAGTTGGAGTCTCACTCTGTCGCCCTGGCTGGATTGCAGTGGCACGCTCACGGCCACTCCAGTGTCAACCTGCTGGTCTCAGGCAATCCTTCCAAGAAGCCAGAACCACAGGCATGCACTACCATGCCCAGCTAATTTTTTTGATTTATTGTAGAGATGAGGTCCCATCAAGACTGCCCAGGTTGTTCTCGAACTGGTGGATTCAGGGAATTCTCTTGCCTCAGCCTCCCAATGTGCTGGGATTACAGGCTTGAGCCACTGCACCTGGCCAGTGATATTTTTAAAATTATTTAATACCAATCCATATTCAGTTTCTCCATTTTTTTTTTTAAGAAATGTCCTGTACAGCTGATTTGTCTAAATCAGGGTATGATCTAGGACTGCTGTTTGCATTTGGTTTTATCCCTTAAGTCCCTTTTAATCTAGAATAATAACCACCCTTTTTAATGACACTGACCATCTTCTGGATGTGTCTGATTGTTCTTATGTGCCAGTCGCCTTGTTCCTCTATCCCTTGTGATTTCAATACTGCATGTTGAAAGGTAGATCAAAAGCACTGATTAGATTTAGCTCACACATTCTTTTTTTTTTTTTTTTTTTTTGAGTTGGAGTCTCACTGTCACCCAGACTGGAGTGCAGTGGCCGCTCCCAGCCACTGCAGCCTCGACCTGCTGGCCTCCGGCGATCCTTCTGCCTCAGCCTTCCGAGTAACTGGAATTACAGGCACATGCTACCACGCCCAGCTAGTTTTTGATTTATTCTAGAGACGAGGTCTCGCCAAGTTGCCCGGGCAGGTCTCAAACCCGCGGGCTCATGCAATCCACTCACCTCGGCCTCCCAAAGTGCTAGGATTACAGACTGAGCCACCGAGCCCAGCCTGTTTTCTTAACAATTAGAGATAGTCTCTGTGTTTTTCCCCTTTGGACTCATAACTTTTAAAACCCTTTCATTAGTAAAAATGAAAATCATTGAGAATTATATGAGTTAAGTTGTTACCTAGCACATAGTATTCAAAAATAGATGCAAGCTGCCTCTTCTTACCTTTCTGGAAGGGGGAGCTAGGCAAGGAGATTTTCAGAGTATAAATAAAGACAAAAGTTTGTTCTTTTTGTGTATTTTTTCCACACTAAAATTCATATTTAAGCTTTGAGCTTATATCTCATTGACAGAAAAGAAAGATCCCAGTAGAGTGACAGCAGTTTAACACATGAGGGAGATAGCTAACCCAGCCAAACTAGGTTACGTTTTGTTTTGAGACGGAGTCTCTCTCTCTCTGTTGCCCAGGCTAGAGTACAGTGGTATAATCATAGCTTGCTGCAGTCCCAATAGTGGTTCTTTGTTTTTGTTTTTTTATATCCCTCCTAAATCATGATTGGGGAGTATATGATATACTTAAGTGATAAATTAAGTTAAATACTTGACAAGTAAATTTTTAAATGTTAGGAAAAACACTTCAGAACACTGGATTTATTTTTGGAAAGGAAAATGTGTAAATAATACTGATATCCTTAGTTTCCAGTTTTATATGGCTAGTCTTCAGTGGCTTGCATAATTCTTTTGAGTTTTTTAAATGTGTAAATAGGCAGCTTAATACAAGGATGGCTCAAAGTGTAACAACTACTTGCTTATTTCACTGTGGCTTTTCCTGCCGTATGCACCTCTTATTTATCCCTATTCCTCCATGCCTCTACCTCTCCTCTCTTTTTTTAAGGCTTCCATGTAGTGTAACGGCTAGTTGCTATTCACTGGTCCTTGGATTAAGAGTGTCACTGACCACTGTTTGCTAGTTAAAAGATTAGCCACCTTTTTCTTAAAAAAAAAATAGTTCATATGTCTGCTCGCCCATAGCTTTATTGGGGAGAGTAAAAACAGATGAAGAATTGGCACCTTTTTAGTCATTGTACTGCTCATAAACAGATCTAGTTAGGAGGTAAATAAAAAGAGAATAAATCACATTTTTTAATATTGCTATCTTTTTATTAGGAGGAAAGGAGTCACAGCTTTTGTCTAAAATGTTTATAAACTATTGGCATATTTTATTTCCTTGTTTCTTTTTTACAATTACCTCAAACATGAGTTCTATAAAACTAAACATTTTCTCTCTATGTCTTCTCCCATTTTTCAGGTGTTGAAAAGTCATTGAAGTATGAAGAGGACATGGTATCAAAAAGTCATTCTGTGACTATAACCTCTACTTCCTTGGGATTGTAGAATTATAATTTTTTTTAATGTATAAATTATACCTGGCCTGTACAGCTGTTTCCTACCTACTCTTCTTGTAAACTCTGCTGCTTCCCAACACAACTAGAGTGCAATTTTGGCATCTTAGGAGAGGAAAATGACAGTTTACAACTGTGGCCCTATTTATTACACAGTTTGTCTTTCATGTCTTAAATTTAGTCTTTACCGTGCCAAGCTAACTGTACCTTATAGGACTGTGCTTTTTGTGTTTGTTTCTTTATGTATGTTTATTTTTTTAATCTGTTTAAATTACCTAGCTGCTACTGCTTCTTCTTTTCCTATTAAAATGTCTTCCTGTTTTTAGGAAAAATAGAACATTTAGGTTAAATGTCTTAAATTTTACCACTTAACAACACTACATGCCCACAAAATATATCAGGTCAGTACTGTATTTTAAAATTCCTTGAAAAGATATCAGGGTTAAAATTATTTGTATCATTTCTGAAGTTTGCTTCTAAAAACTACTGTGTGAGCACTGAAACCTTACAAATGCCCAGTGAGGCATTTGAGACTGAGCAGAGGCTACTTAATTGTTATCTCATGAAATGCCTGTTGCTGAGTTGTTTTGAATAGAAATATTTTACAATATCAAAAGCAGCTCTCAGTTTATAAGAAAGTTTGGGAAAGGAATTATACTTTCTCCTTCCTGATTCTATATTCAACATAGCTTGATAGAATGAAAAAATACCCTGCTTCATTCTGGTGAGCTTGCTAGCTAATATAAGAAATGGACAGATATTAATTTGTCATCTTAAGTATAGTGAAATTAATTAAAGTATTATAGGACTAAACATAATTTTATATTGTTTGTACTTTATTGGCTGGTCTAAATTTATAGCCTATGGAAATTAAGAAAAAGTGAAGAAAAAGTTCAGATACATGGTGAATTTTAAAAATAGGTAAATTTTGGAATGAAATCCTTGGGGTATTTTTAATCAGCTACATTAAATCATACACTATAATTTATTTCTTATTTGATCTAGAAATAGTAAATTGTTTGCAAGTCACTAATAATCCTCAAATATTTTGTTGGCTATAGTCCATAATTTTATAATGAGTACCAAGTGTATACCTATTTTTGCCACTTTTCCTGCAGTTTATTTTAGGAAACTATGAAAGTAATAGGGAAAGAGATTTCCAACATTTGTTACATCAGTGGTGGGAGGTGACTGCAACTGTATTAGCAGAAATTCACAGAGAATGGGGATTTAAGGTATTCAATCAGTAGAGAAACTTGGAAAGTTCTGTGTTAGGATCTGGCTGGCAGAAATAACTTTTTGAAAAAGTTTTATACACAGATATTTGTATTATTGAATTTGGAGCCATAGTCAGAAGACTTAGATCATAATTGGCTTATTTTTCTATTTCCTTAACTATTGTAATTTCCACTTTTATAATAATTTTGATTTAAAAGATAAATTTATTTATTTATTTTTTTAACAGTCAAAAACCTTTGCTCTTGTAGTCTGCAACCTCTAAAATGATTGTGTTGCTTTTAGGATTGATCAAAAGAAACACTCCAAAAATTGAGATGAAACTTTGGTGCAGCAAGATATAAGTAACAGAGTTAACAAAAAGAAAGTGCTATAGCCTCTTCATGACAATAGATTTCTAAGTGCAGAAACATTTATATTGTTTTCAAATGAAAACTAACTTCTTTGGCAATATTCATAAGTGAAGCAGATTTTTTTTCTCTTTTGTCTGAATGTTAGTTTCCTTCCTATAAGATATATCATGGGTATTGGTGCTCTGTAACAATGAGTTGTAACTAGCATGTGGTTAAGAATACATAATGTTCGTTTTTAAAAATATCTTAGTGGTTCTTTTCTATTTGTAATTTCAAACTTTCATAAAGTGTACCAAGAATTTCATAAATTGATTTCAGCGAACTGCTCTTTTTGCTGTGGTAGGTCATTAAACACAGCAGTTACTCTTAGAAATGAAAATTTCTGAACATCTAGAACATTGACACTTATTTCCATTTGCAGTGTCTTTTTGACTGGCTATATTAATGTTCCTCTGAGTATTGATAAATGGTTCACAAGAGAAACTCAATGAAATAAGGATAATATTTATTCATGTGATCAATTAAATTATTTGCCTAACTTAAGAAAAACTACTGTGCATAACTCTCAATTTGTGCTTAACTCAATTTGACATGAGGTGACAGAAGAGAGTCTTGAGTCTACCTGTGGAATATGTTGGTTTATTTTCAGTGCTTGAAGATACATTCAAAGATAACCTGGTTTGGGAAGACGCCATATAATTTTAAGTTAACCTGCATGCTGTAAATGTGTTTATGTTTAAATAAAGAGGAAAATTTTTTTGAAATGTAATGATTTTCTTAAAACTTAACCAGTGAAATAGTAGGTTGATTTTACATGACTGAGTGGCCTTCTGGCTTGACAGAATAGTGACTCATATGTCATTATACTTATGTATATTTGGTTTCCTAATATTTTGTTTGCAGCCTTTTGGACACAGGAATTAAATATGTAGGCTGAAGAGCTAGAAATGAAGTACCAGTCTCACCTGTGTTAATTTTCTCTGGACTACATTGTTCATCTGAGTGTGATCATTTTATTAACCAATATAAAAATACTGTTAAAGTTTTATTTTTCAGATACTCCTTCAATGGTCATTCAGGTCTAGCTGGAAAATAACTTTAAAAAAGACTGTTCCTGGCCAGCCTCGGTGGCTTAGCTCAGCCTGTAATCCTAGCACTTTGGGAGGCCAAGGTGAATGGATTGCCTGAACTCATGGGTTCAAGACCAGCCTGGACAATTTGGCAATATCTTGTCTCTGCAATAAATCAAAAATTAGCTGGGTGTGGTAGCATGCGCCTATAGTTCTGGCTACTTGAAAGACTGAGGTGGAAGGATTCCCAGAGCCCAGCAAGTCAAACCTGTGATGGCTGTGAGTGTGTCACTGCACTCCAGCCTGGGCTGCAGAGTGAGACTCCAACTCAAAAAAAAAAAAAAAAATTAGCCAGGTGTGGTGACATGCACCAGTAGTTCCACTTACTTGGAAGGCTGAGGCGAAAGGATCGCTGGAGCCCAGCAGGTCGATGCTGCGGTGGCCGTGAGTGTGCCACTGTACTCCAGCCTGGGCAACAGAGTGAGACTTCAAAAAAAAACCAGAATAATGAAGCCCCAAGTAGAACAATTATCACCTCTTGTTTCATCTATAATCCTTTCATCACCCAACATATTATTTTGAAGCAGCCCCAGACATCATATGTTTCTCTCATAAATAAATCAGTATTTTTATAAGGACTCCCTAAGGCACACCCAGCAAATACCATTATGACATCAAAAAATAATTTCCTGATATATTAAAATTTTTAGTTTTTATAAAACATTTGAATCAAGATTCAAAGACCCTATATTGTGGTAAGTTCCACTCTCTATTCCTTGCAATTAATTTTTAAAGAAAAGTTATTTGCCTTGTAGCTTCCCAGATTTTGTGATTGCATCTCTTTAATTTTATTTAACATAAACTTCTGGCCTTTTTATTTTTTGTAAATTTGCTTTGGATTCACGGACTTGATAAGATTCAGATATTTATTTTGTTTTGTTGGAGGGAGATAATATTCACAGATGGTAGTATTCTTCCATCATGTGACACATAATGTGTAGTTGTCTCTCTTATTGAGTTATTGATGATCAATGTTTAGATTCATCACTTTTAAAAGGGTTTCTGGGAGGTCAAGGTGGGAGGATTGCCTGAGCCCACAGGTTCGAGAACAGCCTGCGCAACTTGGTGAGACCTCATCTCTACAATAAAAATCAAAAAATTAGCTGAGTGTGGCAGCACGGCTACTTGGAAGACTGAGGCAGAAGCATTACCTGAGCCCAGCAGGTAGATGCTGGGGTGGCTATGAGAGTGCCACTGCCCTCCAGCCTGGGCAACAGTGAGACTCCAACTCAAATAAATAAGTAGGATCCTAAAATGGTGGTATTCTAGGTCTATCATTACTTCATTTGTTAGCTTGTGCAACAGAGTGAGACTCCAACTCAAATAAGGGTCCCAGAATGGCAATATTCTAGGTCTATCATTCTTTCGTTTGTTAACTGTAGAGAAACTGGTCCTCTTCTATTTGGTTACCCGGTGGTATAGATTGTATAAAAAAGACAATAAATGCTTGATTCCTTCTATTTGCACGCTTCAAAATGAGTTGTTTCACTACCATCTTCCAATGGTGACCAGTTCTTATCCCCCCCCCCTTTTTTTTAATTTTGATAAATTTTCTCTATGAGCCTTCAGATTACGTTTTCCTTTCCTGGAGAAATCTGAATGAAAATGGGGATTTTCCTAAAATCACAGCACATCTAAGGGATGGCATGCAAAAAGGAATAAAGAAATTTATCAATTGAAGAAACTAGTGAGAATGTGCAATAAACTCAGGGATTTTGTCACTTCTGAGGCACAAATCATGAACCATGCAAATAATGGAAAATGCAAATCATTAGATTCATCAGAATCAGTGCTCTAATTCTTGATCTAGGTGTAGAATTATACAACTGCAGATGAGAATTTTACATTGCTGTTTGGGCAAAGACCAGGAGGTAAGCCTCTTCAGTTAAAGAGGTAATTGTACTTTTCATATTCAGGTGTAATTGGTTAGTGGGAAGAATTTTACGTAAGAACTAGGTACTGGTAGAATTAGATTTGACACTAGCTGTCACCCCTGGCGACAAGTTGCAGGGAAGCACAAAGACTGCCAGTGGTCATTGGAAAAGATGCTAAGTGGAGCCATGCGTGCTCTCCTTGGTCCTAGATACACATTTTTCCTGCTGGAGACTACTGTAAAAAGTACTTTGGCTATATACTATGTCCAGGAGAATAGCGCCACATGCTGGTAGATTTTGCCTGTGAGATACCAGCTTCTGGATGGTGAGGTCTGTGATTTGGTCAGTGTATTCTTTGGTAGTAAACTCACTTATTCTCCTTTACTGTAAAGTTAGTCTCCTAGTCTGATGATGTTATTTGCAATTCCATGTCGAACTGCATGAAGCCCTGCAGTCAGGAAAGGCAAACTCAGACTCCTGTTAAAACAAATCCCTGGCCTTCTAGAGTAGAAGGCCCAGTGTTGTCAACTTACCCCAAGTTGCTAGTTGTTTTCTTCAAGGGACAATTGAGCTGAATGTTGCTGGCAGGACATTTGGCAGCAGTAACTGGGTCAGTCTTGTTAAGTGGGAGCCCTTGCTCCTGGGCTGAGCATAGCTTTCATCTCCCACTGTAGCTGCTCTGTTTATGTGTCTGTTGTACCAGTGCTGCAGTGGCGGATGACAGCCCAGCTGATGTCAACCACTGCTTGCTTAAGTCCTATTTGGTTAAATTCCTCTTTCCTAGTGGATGCTGTCCGGTATCCACTGGGAAAGACCTTCATATCCTGTGCCCATACCCATGTCTGTGGGAAGGGCAAGCACAGCAGCTTCAGAGGTCCGGTATCTACTGGGAAAGACCTTCATATCCTGTGCCCATACCCATGTCTGTGGGAAGGGCAAGCACAGCAGCTTCAGAAGTTTCTGTTTGGTCTTTGTCACTGTATGGGATAGCCTGCATTCCCCAGTCCAAAGATGTAATGTAGGCAGTCGTGCCAATGACTATGAATTGTCAGTTCTAGGTATACACACAGACAGGGAATGACCACCAGGTGGTGAGCATGTGCAGTTTTCTCAGCAGCATGTTCCTTACACGTTTATAGCTTGGCCAGCGCTCCTTACCCACATGCTCCCCTCATGGTGATGCCTCAGGTCTCTAAGTTTCAGTGTCAACAGAAGCTCTCAAAATGTTTGGGTGCTGCCCTTTCTCCAGGACCCAGGTGCCTAAATAAAGGGCCTTAACTTGTTTGGGGGCATAGTCTGGACTTGCTGGGTTGGTGCAAGGTCCTCCTGAGGACTGAACCTGTTGACTGCAGAGGTAATTGGGTTAAAATGCAGCCATCACAGTGGGCCCTAACCCAACATGGCTAGGATCCTTGTATAAGGGAGATTTGGACACAGAGACATGCACAGAAGGAAGATCATGTAGAGAATGGAAGAAGGTGGCCGGCTATACCCTAAAGGGAGTGTCCTGGCACAGGTCCTTCCCACACAGTCCTCAGAAAGACTCGATCTTGCCAACACCTTAATGTGGCACCTCTAACCTGCAGAACCAAGAGATAATATATTTCTGTTGTTTAGGCCACCCAGACTGGGCTATTTAGAGCAGCCCTAGCAAACTAACAATTGCATGCTCTGCTAATGGAGAAGGCCCTCTGCGCTTTTTGCCTTTGCATCCTCAGTACAGGAGAGCTGTTGAGAGCTGCTGCTTTTCTTAGCTCTGGCATGCTTCAGTGGGCAGCGAATTTCTGCCATGCAGTCGTGAGTGACATGGTGGAGGACATCCAGTGGAGCTCAGCCCCAGCTGTGGCCCAGAGTATGCAGCCCCTCAGAGAGCTTGGAGTCTGGGCCCCAGCCCTGTAACCACCTCACTGGCCCCCTCTGGGCCTGCCCTTCAGCCTCAGCTCACCTACACCCTGGACAGGCATTTCCTGCTTGCCAGACCTTGCTGTAGTTTCCTGCTCATTTTGTACTCTGGAGAGGTATGCCAGCCTCAGCCCACCGTACCCCAATGGTGTGTTTCCTTCTTGTCAGTCCTAGCCGTGATTCTGTGCTTGCCATCATCAGCCTGAATACACCCCAAAGGGAGGCTTCCTGCTTTCCTGGTGACTGACCTAGCTGTCATGTGAGGCAGTCCAGCAAACTCCTCTGCCATACACTAGACCACAATTGTACTCTCCAGCAAGATTGGCTTTTATTTTTGTTTTTTTAGAGCTGGGATCTCACTCTGTTATTTAGGCTGGAGTGCAGTGGCACGATCACAGCCACCGCAGCCTTGACCTGCTGGACTCAGGTGATCCTTCCGCCTCAGCCTTCCAAGTAGCTGGAACTACAGGCGTGAGCTACCATGCCCAGCTAATTTTTTAAAAATTTATTGTAGAGAGGAGGTCTCACCAATTGCCCAGATTGGTCTCAACCCCTGGGCTCAGGCAGTCCTCTCGCCTTGGCCTCCCAAAGTGCTGCGATTACAGGCTTAAGCCACCGCGCTCAGCCAAAAACTACTTTTGTACTTGGAACAGTAGGAAATAAAAGACCAGAACCTAAGGCCTTAATTTTTAGTTAAGCCTTCATAATCACTGGCTTTATATGAAAACAAACCCACAAGGTCTCTCAAGTTTAAATAAGCAGTTGTTGGAAGTACAGACAGCCCTCCAAATCCAGATTCAACCAACTACAGATTGAAAAATATTCAGAAAAAAAATACAGCCATAAAAATACCCTAAAAAATACAGTATAACAATTTTTAAAAATCTACATGCCATTCACATTGTAGTAGGCATTATAAGTAATCTAGAGATAATTAGGCTATTTGCTGATGCTCCTGTCAGGGACTTGAGCATCTGTGGATTTGGGTATTTGCAGGGGGCCCGGAATCAATCCTCATATATCAAGGGGATGACTGTACTTCAAAT